GGCCTACCTGCAAACTAAATGGAACCGCTACTGATCGTTGGAATCCTTGCAGAAGCGCCTCCAAGTCCCTGTTCCTCTTTCTTTTCCATATAGAACTGTGTACCTTTCTCGCTTCCACTCCTGGAAGATTTGCAATTCCAATTGGCGCGACGTCTGCGTTTACGTCTGCTCCTGCTCCTGCTGCTCCTCTCCTGCTCCTCTCCTGCTCCCGCTCCTCCTCTTGCTCCTGTTGCTGATGATTAGTTGTTGGCCCCTGTCCTCCTCTGCCCCTCTCTTTCAGCCATATAGCCCTCTCTGTCTAGTCTGCAGTGGGGCTTCTATGGCCACGTTCAACCTTCTTTTTATTGCACACACGATGCAATTATTTGTTTTATTAACTGTTGAACATGTTTTCTCCGCGCACATTGCACCATGTTTTCCCACTGATATATAAGTCGCTTCCAAATTGTAAATTGCAAATTTTATTAATTTCTGCCCATGGGAAACTTGTTCCCCCAGCGATCGCACTCCGTGTGGGGTTCTCCTCGAATCGGATTGGGCTTGGTTCGATTCCGTTGAGATGAACCATTTCCCGCATAGAGTGCTGTGGGTTGGTCGGCAATTAACCTTTTAAGGTTCTTGTGTTCGGGAGGAAATTAATGATAATTGTCGAATGTTTAGATAATGGGGTGTTTCGATTGGGTATTCCAAAGGGGGAATGCAAAGTCTTTACAAATAGGAATATTTAAATAAAATGTGTATGTAAACTAAGTCTAAACACTTTCTCTTAAAGCTATTTTAGTTCCCTAGCAAATATTTCTCAAGCTAAGGAAATGGCAATTTTTCATTGGTTAAGTCTGAAACAGGTTGATTTACATTAAAAGCCAAGCGAAAAATGAATTCTCCCACCCATTTCGTAAAAAACTGAAGAGGGGGTGAAGGGTGGGAAACGGGAAAGGGGTCGGGTAGTGAAGCCAACAACATTACCATGTTCTAAGATTAATCAGCTAAGCAAACATAATAAAAGGCTAAGCGCTATTTTGCGACATTTTGATAAATATCGAATCAAAATAATGCGTCAAAATAATTAATCATGATTAAGCGGGGGTCAGAGGCGTAGGCGGGGGGATTAGCCAGTGTTAATGATCAATAAATGAGACAGCAGGGGAGGACGGGAGAACAAGTGCTAGCCATCACACGCCATTCTCGAATTAGTGGCCAGCGAAAACAAAGAGTAACTCGCCTACTTTTACCCCTCCCAAATCACCCCATCATGACTTAAACACTCTGGCCAAAAAAGTGTCACATAATCGGGGAAATCAAATGCAAATGTAATAAATCCGTGCGAAAGGGGGTGGCACTGGGCGCACCCCCCGATTTGTATTTACTTACTGCGACTTTCGACGCATAATTTAAGGTCCTGCCAAACGAAATCCGCCCGAAGTCAATTTATATTCAAAAGCCTTCCCCCGAGTTCCTATGTGTGGGAACTTTAACATGCGGTCTCGCATCAGTCAGGATGTCAGTTGGCTGAAGGAAGTCAAACCCTTTTTCACTTTTCGCTAACATTTCTCCCCAACTTTCCAGAGTCTTTCATCCGTTTCTGAATTCCACTTGTTGGTCTTTTCATGACCACTGCAGAAATACAGTATCTACCATTTAGAAATAATGATTTTTTTGCATGAATCTTATGTACGGAACTAAATTAGTTGAGATGTATTATGATAGTTTTTTAAAAAATGAATTTTATTCAACATCCTTGTCTTCAACCTTGCCCTTCGAATAAGTGAACTCACTATATAGTACATATTGTTTATCTTAGTTTCTCACACTCATCTTCGCAGACTTCTCTGTTTTTGTGAAATTTAATCAAAATCGGTGTTCAGAAATGAGTACTCACATAGGCCCCAAGGGTGACATTCGATGGCGTTTAGCACGTGCAACCGCCGCGAGCAAGGCCGTTGGGTGGGTGGCCCTTGGGTGGAATGGGTGGTTGCCAGCCGCCTGGCCGCAACCCTTAATTGCGCGTGTAATCAGTTGGCCAAGGGGGTTGGCCACCGCCGAGGGAAAACTGAAAAATCGGTGGAGGGGGCATCCTAATGCCCTGTAAATGCAACTAAACAGCTTGTGTGACGTTTTCGGACGGAGAGTGCCGGGGGATTTGACTTCGGGGCGATGTAAAGTGGCGTTGATGATGTTATTCCGATTTGATTTGATTAGATTGCATTGCATTAGCGGAAGATTGATGGAGCATATGTCAAATATCATGTAAAATGAAAACGCATGTAAGAAGATTTGTTATATTTTTTGCTTTGACGTTTATTGTGCAAATCCATTTTCTGCGGTAACTTATCGTTCAAAGTCGTTATTTCCCACATTAATTAAAGAAGTACCTAGTTACCTGAAGTTACACCTTCAAAATTGCATATAATCTTGGACTGTCCATGTTACTCATAAAGTAAATACGATTTGGAAAATGGCTGTTAGGTATTTCACAGCGCAAGTAAGCTGCAAAGAACCGTACGTCAGGTACAACAGATGCAAATGTAACAGATATAAAACTTGGTCATCTTTTTTTGATAAAAGTCAAGGTCAACACCACGAACAAAAATTACAAAAAAATATTATAATAGACGAAAGCATCGGTATATTTCGCTTACTTATATATACATTTTTTTGTAATAAATATTTTTTAACTTCTCTAAAAACACTTAGATCAATAGGTATAGATCGCTAAACATTATTATCAACATTTAATTAAATCATATGTTGCTACCAAAAGAAGTAAATCTTTTATTATATCACAAACAAATATAAGCGCCATTTAATAAGAACGAATTTCTCTTCACATACTAACAAAAACCATTTTTTTTAACTTTTGAAACCATAGATTTTAAGATTTAAAAGGGTGGTTGCAATAGCGATAGCCATTGGCTTTGTTTCAATGAAAAGTTTGCATTTTTTAAAAAAATTTTCCCTGTTATCAAAAATTTTGACAACAAGGGGATGTCTTTTTAAAAATTGAATTTTTCAACGAAATACAAATATTTTCTTGAAGATATATGGACTTTATCCAAATCAAAGTCGGTAAATATTTGTTATTTCATTAAAAAAAATGAAGGAAACTTTTTTAATACATTTCAATAGACAACTTAGTATACGAACGAACCAATCAAAAGATTTTATTTCTTTTAAGTATTTGTTGAAAAATATAAAACCGGTAAAAGGTAGCGTTTCCGACCCAATAAAGTATATAATATTGATCAGGATTAAAAGCCGAGTCGATCTAGCCATGTCCATCTATCTGCCCGTGCCCATTAACGTCCACTGATACAATCGATGAACAAGTTTATTTGCAGTTCGGCAGATGGCGCCACGTAAACCCGATTGTTTGACGAAATGCGCCATCAGCTTTCGGTGTTTTTTTTTAAATTGGTTATTGGTACCTTATAGTAGAGGGACTCGATCACAGCATTTTTCTTTGTATTTAGGTACATTTTCACTTTTGCATCATCAAAATTTTAAAAGAATATTTTATTTGATTCCTTTTTTTATTTGATGTTTGTAAATTATGTAAATTAGCTATTGTAGTTAAGTACCATACATTAACGAACTAGTCCTAAACGAAACGAAACCTACATTAAGCAAAATTGAATGATTAATGGAATTTATTAATAACAAGAAAGGAAAGCTAACTTCGGGCGGAGAAGAAGTTAATATACCCTTGCAGAATATTCTGTAAATTATATTCTCCAAAATTATGCATATGATACTTTCTTAATACTCATAATAGTGACGGACAGACGGACATGCTTATATCCACTCATGACGCGATCCTGATCAAGAATATATACTTTATAGGGTCGGAGATGTCACCTCCTTGCACACTTTTGACCAAAATTATAACACCCTCTGCAAGGGTATAAATATGCCAAAATGTGTTGTGTGTTACACAGTAGTGCGAATAGCAGCACTTTGCTTAACCTTAAATATCTCATTAGATATCAAAAATCCTGTTTCCAACACATTCTCAACAGCATAAATCGAACTTTTCTATTGTTACATTGTTCATGCAAATTAGTTTCCCTATACAAAAATAATTTTATAATTTTTGTTCTTCTTTAGCTCGCTGCATCACATTATTGTCTCTTCTTCAGAATACTAGTAAAATCTCTTGAAGAGTGCCAAACAAGAAAATATTTTAAAATGTTGTATGTGTGAATGTTAATATTTTTAGAACATTTTACATATATACATAATTTAGAATTTGAATGATACGATCGTCAATAGTTTTTACTCTGTCAAGTGACGCCTTTATGTAATATCGGATGTTTCTAAAGTATGTGCGTTGGTCTAAATGTGAAATTACTTGTCAATGAAATTGGTCTATTAGACAAATTTAAACCAACTGCTCTGAGGATTTTTAATCTGTTTGCTACATTTTTTTGTTTTACATTTAAAAGTATTTTTAATGGTTTGCGGTTCTGCTTATTTTTAAGAGTTATTTGGCAGTTATGTAAACCTCTCAATCGTTGAATTTTGGACATATGTTAGCCAGGAAGATGTTCCATGCAAATTAAATTTTTAAAAAATTTACAGATTTGGCACGCTTTGCTTACTTGAAGAGCAAAACAAATATTTTGAATAGTGAACGGTGATTAACAACAAGAATTTCTATTAAATATTTGAAAATAAATCAGTTACGCGGGTCAACTGCTTGAAAATTCCATTTTGGGATGTTCCCTTAAGTGCTGAAAATTCCTTTCATATTTGTAGCGATTCAGCGATTTGGTCGTTTAGAAAATCCTTCACTGTATTTGTTCTAAACTTTTAATATTAACTTTTTGGTGTTTATAAAGTCAAGCAGTGCATATTAACTATTTGATATTTAAACAGGCAAGCAGTTAAATAACCGATGGCTCTGGGAAAACATCGCTGTCTGGAAATATCGATAGTATCGAAATAACATCTGGCAACATTTGCATCGATGTCTGCTCTGACATACAGTAAGGTCGCGACTCGCGATATCCGATAGTATCGAGTAAAGATAGATTTTTGTTCCAGCTCTACATTGCACCCTCGCTAAAATTCGCAACATAGCTTCAAAAACTAAACAATAAATGCCGTAATGCAGCGCGTATGTGTTTGACAGCTTAGCAGACGAACAGGCAGAGCTTCAATTAATAGAAATTAATCGTTCCAGGGCATCGACACCTTCTTTAAGCGGCTGCCCGGCAAGCCGAAAAAAGCAGAAGACGAAAACGGAGAGACGCCAACTAAGGCGCCAAAACGCCGAAAGGCCGTGATCATTTCCAGCGACGAAGACGAAGTTGCTGCCAGTCCGCCGGAGCCCAAGAAACGTAAGGCCTCCAAGGCGGCATCAAGCGAGGATGAAGTGGTGTCCGCCACTCCGGAACCGGAAGCTAAAAAAGCCAGAAATGGCCACAAACCGTCCCTATCCAAGCTGAAAAGGCATGTGGATCCTTCGGAGCTATTTGGTGGGGAAACCAAGCGTGTGGTTGTGCCCAAGCCTAAGACCAAGGCGGTTATCGAGTTCGAGAACGAGGACATAGACCGGAGTCTAATGGAAGTCGATCTGGAGGAGAGTATCAGGGAGGCCGCGCCATTGGAAAAGGTTTCATCATCTCCCAGGAGGTCTCCCTCTCCCAAAAGAGCCAAGAAAGCCAGTCCTGAACCGGCCAAACCCAAGTCCACCAAATCCAAGACCTCGACTCCGCGAGTGAAGAAGGAGAAGCCTCCAGCGGATCTGGAATCCAGTGTCCTAACCGACGAAGAACGCCACGAGCGGAAGCGCATGTCCGCCGTGCTCTACCAGAAGTACAAGAACCGCAGCAGCTGCCTGAATCCCGGCAGCAAGGAAATCCCCAAGGGATCCCCCAACTGCCTTAGTGGCCTGACCTTTGTGGTCACCGGAGTCCTGGAGTCCATGGAGCGCGAGGAGGCGGAAGCCGTGATCAAGGAGTACGGCGGAAGGGTGATGACCGTGGTGGGAAAGAAACTAAAGTATATGGTCGTCGGTGAGGAGGCGGGACCAAAGAAACTTGCAGTGGCTGAAGAGCTAAAAATACCCATTCTCAGCGAGGACGGCCTCTTCGACCTAATTAGGGAGAAATCCGGCCAATCTAAGCAGGTAAAGGAGGAGAAGAAGAGCCCCAAGGAGGAGCATAGCTCCAAGGAAAGGGAAAAGAAGGATGTCAAGGCTTCCAGCAAGTTAAAAGTTAAAGTGGAGAAGGAGGACACTAAGCAGGGAAAGAAGGAAAAAAAAGCAGAGCAGAACTCCGAGGAAAAGGAGAAGATGGATGTCAAGCCTTTCAGTAGAACAAAAGTCAAAGAGGAAAAGGAGGACACTAAGCCCATAAATATTGAGAAACATAATGCATCCAAGCATAGGGTCAAGGAAGAGCACACTTCCTCAAAGGCAAAGCAGGATGAAACAGTCCCAGCTGTTACCCTAAAAGTAAAGAAGGAACCCAGCTCACAGGAACAAAAGGCACCGGTGCCAAGGACAGGCGAGGCCAAGACCCAGGATGTGGTCGGCATGGCATGGGTGGACAAGCACAAGCCCACCAATATCAAAGAAATTGTTGGCCAGGCAGGACCCGCTAGCAACGTGACCAAGTAAGTAATTAAAACACGCAGGAAAATATAGAATGATCAAATTTTAATTTTCTGGTGTATCATTATTTTAATTAAGCAAACAAAAATTAAAAAGCGTTTATTCGCTTTAGAATAGTGAGGTTGAGGATGTAAACTTACAAAAACAATAGTATCCCATGATGGGTAAAATTAGAAGTCTTATTTTACCAATTAAGTACTCGATTCTCTTACGGTTAATGAAAGTCTGTAAGTATGTTCCAGAACCTCTTCTGTTTACACAAATGAAAAGATATGGCTTCTCAAGCCGAATGCAACTACTAACCCAGAATATATCCATAAGTATGAGGTCACTTCTTATGGTGGGAAACGCTTTCTATTTTTTAAACATACATTCCACAATTACTACTGAATTTTATTTTATTTAAATTTTATTGATATTAATTCTTTCCAACTCTAGACTGATGAACTGGATGTCCAAATGGTATTCTAACCACGATGGAAATAAGAAGCCCCAACGACCCAATCCTTGGGCCAAGAACGATGACGGGAGCTTCTACAAGGCGGCTCTACTATCGGGACCGCCGGGAATCGGAAAGACCACGACGGCGACTCTGGTGGTGAAGGAGCTGGGCTTCGATGCGGTCGAGTTCAACGCCTCCGACACCCGTAGCAAACGCTTGCTCAAGGATGAAGTATCCACGCTTCTGAGCAATAAATCCCTCTCCGGATACTTTAGCGGCCAGGGGCAGGCGGTCTCCCGGAAACACGTGCTGATCATGGACGAGGTGGATGGTATGGCCGGGAACGAGGACCGTGGAGGAATGCAGGAGCTTATCGCCTTGATCAAGGATAGCTCCATTCCGATCATTTGCATGTGTAATGATCGCAACCACCCGAAGATTAGGTCCTTGGTTAACTACTGCTACGATCTGCGATTCCAGAGGCCGCGTCTCGAGCAGATCAAGGGTAAAATAATGGGCATCTGCTTCAAGGAGAAGGTAAAGATTTCACCTGCAAAAGTGGAGGAAATCATAGCGGCCACCAACAACGATATCCGGCAGTCCATCAACCACATTGCCCTGCTGAGCGCGAAGGAGGAATCTTCCCTAAAATCAGGGCAACAGGTCGCCACCAAGGACCTGAAGCTGGGACCCTGGGAAGTGGTGCGGAAAGTTTTTACGGCGGACGAGCACAAACACATGTCCTTGGCCGATAAGAGCGACCTCTTTTTCCACGACTACAGCCTGGCCCCGCTCTTTGTGCAGCAGAACTACCTCCAGGTCTCTCCACACGGAAACAAGTAAGAATGGTTCTGGGTATATTTTTAATTGTAAATCCCTACAATTGTTCTCATTCTCCGCTTTTGCAGAAACGATATTCTGGCCAAGGTGGCTGCAACGGCGGATGCCCTCAGCTTGGGCGACCTAGTCGAAAAGCGCATCCGCGCGAACTCCGCCTGGAGTCTGTTGCCAACGCAGGCCGTTTTCAGCTCAGTGCTGCCTGGAGAGCACATGTGCGGCCACTTCACTGGACAGATCAATTTTCCCGGATGGCTGGGCAAGAACTCCAAGTCCGGAAAACGGGCCAGATTTGCCCAGGAGCTGCACGACCACACCAGGGTGTGCACCTCGGGTTCAAGGCTATCGGTACGCCTGGATTACGCACCTTTCCTGCTGGATAATATTGTGCGACCTCTGGTGAAGAATGGGCAGGAGGGTGTGCCTGCTGCCCTTGATGTTATGAAGGATTACCATCTACTGCGCGAGGATCTGGACTCGCTGGTCGAGCTGACCTCCTGGCCAGGCAGGAAATCCCCCTTGGATTCAGTCGATGGACGAGTGAAAGCTGCCCTAACACGAACCTACAACAAGGAGGTGTTGGCCTACTCCTATTCCGCTCAAGCGGGCATAAAAAAGAAGAGGGCTGAGGCTGGTGGCGGGGATGACGATTACTTGGGCGCGGATCAAGGGGAAGAGGACGGCGCCGATGGTCACGTCTCTTCAGAAGACGAAGACAAGGATAACCTCGAGCTGGATGGTTTGATCAAGGCCAAAAAGAAAACCACCGCTTCCAGTACTTCCAAAGCGGCTGGTGGTTCCAAAAAGGCAGCATCTTCCACGGCCTCAAAACCCAAGGCCAAGGCAAAAAAGTAAATGATCTAAATATTTTTCTAAAAATTAATTTTAATAATATTTGGTCATGAAACATCCCCCATTTATACCTTTTTTCGAATTTTTCACTAATGCTTAGCACTGGCAAGCCGTTTATATTGTTGAAAATATCTAGAATGTACCAATAAATTGTGTGTTTATAATGCAGCTAAATTTTTAAAAATTATAAAGCATTCCATAATAATTTTAAAAATTTAATGATTTTATTTAGTAAGACGTCTTTCATTAAAGAAAAATTAAAGACCAAGGTTGTTCACTAGTGTTCAGTGACCAATTGCTTGAATATTTGAAACTAGTTTCTAAAATTTGAAAAATGGAAGGATTGGATATTCCTTCAATAATTAAATTGAGCTAGTTAATCTTCCTTTTAGGTCCCAAATAATTCTGCTGCCTAGCAGTTCTCGCCATCCTTGACAAAGGAATTAGCTTTGTATGATAAATTCTGCTAATGTGCTGATCCAATTTTATCTATAAGCATAGTTAGAGTAAAATTTTATTTATGGATCTCGACGCAATAAGATTGGCTGCCAACAATACAAATTGTAAATTTCAAATTTTCAGACAGCTGTTTCAGACTTTTTAGAATTAGTGTTGCAAAATGCTGAAGGAAAGAGTTGTCGAGGTCCAGAAAAATTATCTACCCAAAACGGTTTGTTCAAATGATAAACTGGTCGTTTTTCCTTTTTGCAACCAACAATAAACAAATCGCCAAGAGCAGGAATCACCCATATACTTCAGAAATGTCATTTAATTTTCGCCAGCTGTTTACCAACTTATTCATAAAGTTTTTAAAGAATTTAGCAATTTAGAAATCGTTTCAGGCTAGAGTTCACTAGTATCGCAACATTTATTATAAAATCGAATCCGATTGTATAATTTCAGCAGTTTTAAACATTGATCATAGTTTTTGGCATCAGTTAACAACGAAATATAAAATTAAACATATTTTCAGCAGTCGAAAACGTTGTTTGACAATTGAACAGGAAAAATGTAGTGTTGTTCCCCTTAAAAATCTAGTAAGCCGTACAAGCCGACCAAATATCCAAAATATCATTGATGCGGCGTTTCGTCATGCATGATGCAGATTCGTGGTCTGTCTAAGCAGACTATTAGGCGTAGGCAGAGTTGCCATCAGTTGGCAATGTTGCCAGCCAGGAAACATCGATGATCCAATACTATTCGATAGAATATTCGATATCCCCATGGTAGCGCCAAAGAGTATCTGAGTTTTCTTCCCGAAGTCAGCGCGAACGGACTGCACGTACTGTGGCAGCTTAGAATGCAGTGAAAATTGCTAGTAAAAACAGGGGACAGCATGTGCGGGCAACTCCAACCAACCCATTAACTGCAAAAAGTGCGCGATCCATTTGATTTTTCGATTTAACTCGCCGCGAGCAACAAAGTTGTGGATTTTTTCGCACTGAAAAATTCTCGGCTTACGCCCGTCTATGTGTGTGAGTGTGTATCTGCATCTGTGTAAAGGGCGCAGCTTGGCGAAAAACAACACCCAGCAAGTGAGCAATTTCAGCCTGCCGTCGCGCTTTTAATTAAATTGAAATTAATTGTTGTTCAAAGCGTAAAACTCAACGGGTTTTCTTTGTTTTTTGAGCAACTTGGAGCGCTGAAAATTCAATAAGCACGTAAATTCCAGCACACACACATACCACCTTAACCGCGCACGCACACCGATTCAACGCTGCCGAGCTGGACGACAGAGAGAAAGAGAGACAAGGCAAGTGTAGACTTTGCTCCCCCGCCCTTCCCCTTCACCACCCTCTTTTGGAGCGCCCTCTCCTATGGTTGTTGTTGGGCCATGCACAAGGACAAGCAGCCTCTCACGCATACATGCTCACACTGGGAGCCAGGGTTTTTTCGGCCATCTCCCTCCCCCTTCCTCTTCCTTTTGGGTAAACAGGTGCCGCGCCTTGTGCCGTTACTTTCGTTGGGGCTTCGTTCTCCGTGTTTTGGCAACACATGTTTACCTTTTTAACACTCTGAGTGCGGGCATGAATGCCATTAAAATGAAAGCGAACCCAGAGGGTTAAGTGAGCGGGGAGTGTTTTGAAAGAAAATTCTACCTTGGAACCATTTCTGTTGTTACAAATTGTCATGTCTTTATTCCAAATATGTACACAAAATGCACCTTGAGAAAAGAAGATATACTTTTTGACCAAATTACTGATTGATGGAAATCCTTTCCTAATATGTAGAAACGATTAGCTATTTATACCGATGCAATGTTCATTTGCATTTATATTATGCCTTTATTCCAAACGTTTTCACAAAGTTAAAACTTAAGTTTTTTTATTAACCCCTGTGTAACAGAACCCACGGAATTTATATTTTGCAAATGTTCAAGTAATGATCCTCGAACCTAAAATTAAACAGCGTAGAAGTATTTCCACACTTTACCAAAAAAAAGAACAAAAAAAACGAATAAATGTGTAAATACATACATATGTATATACCTAAAAATAATAGAGTTTGGCTTTTGAAGAAAAGAAAAAAAAGAAATTAATAAATTGATATGTTAAATAATTGGTAAAAAATTATTTTCGGTACACCGTTTAAAAAAATGAAGTGAGTTTATTTCAAAGTCAACTTTTCATATTATGATAAACAGCACACTTGAAAGGTTTCAATAAAATCAAATTATCTTTGCTGAGACATTAGATAAAGTCATCTTGTGATGCCTGCGCATCATTAAAAATGTGCAAATGGGCCTATTTCAGAATAGCCAAATTCATTTACAAAATTAATTTGACAATTAAAACCATATATTTTGTAATAACAAAAATTGTTCTGTATATTAACATTGTTTTAAGTTTATTGCTTTAAAATTTAGCCAAAAATCAAAATGTTGAATATGATTAAAGTTAGTCAAAGTCATCGCCATGCTGAAGCCTTTTTCTTTGATTTTCGGTTCGCATCTTCTTATCGCCTTTTTTTACATTTCCTTGCACACAACGCACCAAATTCAGGTCATTGCATTTGTTTGACTTGCCACCCATAAAACACCCACTACTCACCCCACTCTCTCTGTCTCTTTTTCATCGTCTCGTCCTTTGTTGATTTTTCAATAGATTTCGCTTTCGAATTACTTAAAATTCTTTTAAAAATCAAGTTTTTTGTTCATTTTCGGCTCATTGTACTTTTAATTTTTTTCGGCTCATGAGATTATTGCATTTTTGCATTCCCTACTTCGTATTTCTATTTGCATAGTTACGAAACTAGTCAGCAATCATGCTCCCTAAAAAGACCGAAACTGAAAACAATAACTTATCGATAAGTGTAAAAAGTTGATAGCGCTAAACTGTTACACAAGTCACATAATGGTTCCCGTATCTTTATCTAGACTGCAGCAGCAACAGCCCGAAATCAAAATGATAAACGTATAAAACTCGGTCGTATAAACAGGCTTTACTTTAATTTATTTTCTAGTTTGTTGTCTTACAAAATTAGTTCATAAACTGCAATGTTTTTACTACAAATTTTTAATGAAAATTTCAATTTTACATTTTAAAGACTTAAGAAGTATAATTTTGGCTGGTTCGTTGCTTAGGAGTTTTGACTGTATATTCTATTTATACACACCGTTTACAAGCCTTATCAGCTGTGGTGGTGGTTGGGTGGTGAGGGGTAGCGGTAGAGATAAGCCAGCGACAACACACGACTGAAGTGAACGAAACCGAAGCCGTTAAAAATACCCGTTTGTAAGCATAGCCGTTCGTTTATTTTTTGGCAATACAACCGCCCTTCTGACATCATCATTCGGCGTTCTTTGGCGTGGAATCAAAGTCTCTGCTATACATAGATCATAACACTTTCATAGGTAAACTAGGTTTTAGGAAAAATATCTGGGCACAAACTAAGTCTGTCACCAAAATTCCCATTAAATTCGGTTTTGAATTTCTAGTTAATTTTTAAAAGAGGTTAATTTGAAAACAATTATTTATATGTATTGATACTGGCGTAACTAATTAAAACTATTCTTAATCTTTCGTATTTCGAGGTTGCAAATAATGTTTTAAGTTTTTGAATATAAAACTCAAAAGTTATAAAATTTACGGTTTTTTTTATTTTCTATTTATCAATAATTATTTTTCCCTGAGTTATAAAAATGTAAATCACAAATAAGAGTTATTGTACTCGTAATACCAAAAAAAAAACTAAAATCAGTAATAATGATTATACCATATTTATATTTTATTTTATTAGTAATTCAAATTTAAAACGATTTGCTTTTGTTTTGAGTTTTGCTTGTGATATCTCTTTCTGCGTAGGCATTTCCACCACACGGATGCAGAGTTCAAACTAGAACCAAAGAGAAAAATTGCAGCCGAAGTGGAAGCAAAACTTGACTTGGCTTGTTGACCAAAAGAGAACGAGTTAATCGTGCAGATGAAATGGGTCAACAGTGGACATTGGACAGACTATCTGTCGTTGTATCCCAGAGATACACAGATACAACACACCAAGTCCGCTGACAGCCGCACTGGGTCCGGCTAAATTAAGTTGCCAGCCAACTTCCATGCCATATAGCCATGCTCACAGCCTATACATTTTTTATTTGCGATCTCAATTCGCTTTGTTAGCTTTCTGTGTTTTTCCGTTTCACGTAAGCATGGAAAAAGGGGAGAACAAATAATAAAATGAGGGTGGTCGGAACTCAATGAATACGCGTCCCACCCCTGTTTTTCTTTGTTTTTCGGTGGTTTAATTGAAATTTGCTGTCTCGGCAGTGATTTACACTCGTAAGCAGGTTTTCTGGTTTTGGTCAAAGCATAAAACCATATTCATTTCCGTTTTGAGCAACCTGAAAAATCAAAATGTATCTGGTGTCACGGGCTGTCATGAGCTGCATATAAATTAACCACCGCTAATGTGCTGAACCACCGATACAGTGGCGTCCATATAATCACAGCCAATTGTCCTTCCCGTTTATCAACATTTTTGTATTCTTAATTGCACAAAACTGTTTCCTTCTTATCAGTAAATCTTAGATCAACTTTAGCAGTAAATAATAAAACCATTAGGAAATTCTTAAAAAAGTTTCTAGTGCGTTGTCAGTAAAAATGTAAGTCAAGTCTCAAGACCTTTTATCTTTCCTTCGCCATGCACATGATTTTCACAATCGCTGAATAGATAGCCTTTAGCGGGCTTTGTTCAACAAATTACCACGATTTGCTATAAATTCCATTCAAGTTGTTGCACTAGTGCTTCGCTTGGCGAGAGACGGGGTGGTTGCTGTCTAATCAATACCCATAGCCACTTGTTCGTTCAGTCAAAGTGTTGTCCAGCTGTCACTTGGTTTGTTTGTCAACGAGCTTTATTTTCCACTTCATACTGTGCATGGGTCATGTTCATATGCGACTATATCTGTGTGTATCGGGGTATCTGCGAGCTACCTTTGACAATACTAATTGATTTCCACACACAGACGTTTCTATTGCGGTTTCCATTGTTGGTCTTCATAAGTTCTTTCTTCTTCACATTTTCCTCGAGTTCGTGGTGAAAATTAGCAAACAATTTGTTATTGTCGCAGAAGTTTTGCGGCTGATATGTTAGATCAAAGGGAAACTTAGTGAGTGAGCTTTCATATGAAGTACATAAAAGTAAACAAACCCAGTGCGACGCTGGGCACCACTTCAAATAATTATAATAAGATCTGAGGAGTGCATTATATCGAGCAACGGTTTCTGAGGGATGGCCTCTTGCGTCGAGCGCAGATAGCAATTAAGAGATTCTGATGATTATAAGGAATATTATCTGCTGACGAGTAGGAAAGCCAGACGACTAAGGGCTGGCTCAGGCAAAAATTTTGCCACACACATGTCCCTCTATATATCTTATTCCCTGAGCCCCTATACCTCCAAGTGTTTGTGCCATAAAGAAAGGCTGTATACAGTGAAATAAACAAAGAGCCGAGTCATATAAAAGAGCAACTGACTGTGTTTGTTGGATATGCGTGAGGTGGGGGACTTTAAATAAATATTTTAATGAACTGCACTAAAGGCTGTGCCGACGCCTAAAAAGAGTTGACTTTGAAACGCACTGACTTGCTGCCAGTAGCAACAACTACAACCAAATCCGCCTGACTGACAGACAAGCGGAGTGCATCCTTTTATACCCACATACTCGCACATCAATTCCGTGTGTGCATTTTATTTTTAACCCACTGTAAAACGTAAAAAAAGTGCACGGGGTGCAAGGGAGATGGAAAGGAAAACCATGTACCATGTACCATGTGGGAAGTAAAGAAGATTCTTTCGTTGTAGTTTTAATTTTTCGTTCTTTGCCTCTATACAAACATCCAGCTGCAATTGTTGTTCCCCGGTTGTTCTTCGGGCTTTGGCCTGCCTCATTTGTCTGCCTTATTTTCGAAGAAATCTCCAAGTGATTCATCTTTTCCTTTGCGGAGCAGTCGCCGAGGAATTATGAAAGATGCTGGAGATACATTTTAATTGAGATGCATTTTCGTTATTCTTTAACCAAATAGATCAATAAAATTCAGTTGAGATTGCGATTGCTTAAATTGAAAGTTGACATGGTTAATATATATAAAGATATGAAATGAATTCAAAAGAAAGGGTGGAGAGTTATGACCAATCAAAACGAAAATTGTCTTTAACATTCTAAATAGAACTGTCCATGATTTATTAACATTAATGACGTGGTGTATTGCTTATAAATAAAACATTGTTAGAGATGACAGACCATAAAATATTAGTTGAATAAATAAACTATGCAGCCAGCTAAACATGAGCACCGGTAATGTCACTGTCCGTTTAAAATGGAATTTTCTTTACTTTGCTAAAAGATTTTAAAGTTTCAAAAGGCTCAAAAATTGTATGTTTCGTCCGAGTTTTAATAGTTACGATAATATCAATACGAAAAAAATAAATGAATTAAAATAAATTAAAACATGTTGTAACTTCGAAAAGTCAATGTATCTGTTGATTCGAATTAGTCAATGTATCTTTTATGCAGAACATTCTAATGACAGCTATTTGCTAAGTCGACAGTACCGTATAAAAAACCAAGTTCTCGAGTTCTGTCCGTAAATTATAATAAGGTTGACAAAAAAATAGCCTGAGATACATTTTTCAAAATATCTGATTCTCTGAAATATTTAACAAGAAACCACGCCCCATTCCTGACCCTCTTCAAAACACCTAGAATGCTTAACGAAACTTAATTAATAAACCATGAATTTATGTCACTCGACAGCATATGAAAGTCATAAAACTTTGATGGGTTACCAGCTCACACAACTTTCTGGGTCACACACATTCGCACAATGCATTACCTACCCTGCAGTTCCGAAATTCATCACTACAAAAATTCATCACTGTTTAATCAGCAGCGGACTGCGACGCCGGCAGAGCCAAAGGCAAAGTCGGCAGAGCCGAGAGCGACGCAGGCAGAGCCGAAACTCTCAGTCCCCGATCGTAGGCAACGCATAAAAATTTCCATCTCCCTCTCTTACTCCTTCTCTCTCCCCATAAAATGAGCTGAGAGGTGGAGGACAATGTATTAAAATCAGATCGACCTTTATACACCCTTGAAAATAAATTAGCATAATTTTTGTATTGTAGTTGTTGATTCTTATTAATTATATTATTTTATGCAAATACTTTTTAAAAATAAAATTATTATGATAGTTTTGAAAGGTATGGATTCCTTTTTTAAGTGAATTTAAGTTATGTGATTATTTTGCATAGTCGGACATGCTTTTATATACCCTGCTTTGACGCGAAGCGAAACATGTAAAGACAAATTAGGCAGAGGAAAGAACAATAGGATTAACAGCGCCCTTGTTTTCAACTGAAGTTGTTTTCGCGGTTTTTACGTGCACTTGCATTTGAGAGAACGGAGAAAACAGATCGAAGCAGAGATTTTTTGTGAAATTTTATAACTAAATTTATCAGAAATTTATGTAAGTGTTATTTTATTAATTATTTTGAACTGTACCTACATATACTGTTAATATATTTATTCATTATTTAAGGCGAAGCTTATAATAAAACTTTTGGGCCAGCATAAACTAAGCTGGACTTGGCCGGCGGCAAAACAAAAAACGCAGTAAGTTTTTATTTTTTTAATAATTTTTCTATTTCAGATATACTTGGTCAGGAAGAGCCAGTACATAAAGCACGAAGTCAAAAAAAGGGCACGGAAACCGAAACATCCTCAACACCTCCGGGACAACTGAAAACGTACATATGTAGATTGAATTAAGTTAAATTAATTAGTTATATGTAATGAAATAAATGAAATAATAATGAAATATTGTAATAAAATAAAAAATGAAATTTATATGAAAATTTACTGAATGAATTTTACTGATGAAAAAAAAGCGATGAAAAAGCGATGAAAAAGCGATGAATATGCGATGAAAAAGCGATGAAAATGCGATGAAAATGCGATGAAAATGAGATGAAAAAGCGATGAATTACTGATTAAAGAGTGATGAATTACTGATGAAAATGTGATGAATTCATCACTCTTTAATCAGTAATTCATCACTCGTTAATCACTATTTCATCGCATTTTAATCACTCGTTCATCGCATGTTCATCAGTAAACGCTGTTCAAAGAGTGATGAATTACTGATTAAAGAGTGATGAAAAACTGAAAAAAGAGTGATGAATTACTGATTAAAGAGTGATGAATTTTTCACTGATTAACTCCTAGGACATGCCAATGTTAAATTCATCACTAATTTGTATGAAGTTTCATCGCCGATTAATCAGCAGTGATGAATTTTTGGTGATGAAAAAGCGATTAAAAGGTGATGAACGGTACTGCAGGGTAGATACAGATGCGAGGAAGCGAGAAAGAAACACGAACAGGAGACAGCAACTGCCATCTCCTGTACTTAGAAACTTGTTAAACTTTACTTGGCAAACGACAAACTCTTCTCTGCTTAACTTTGGCTGCCAGTGATTAAGACGGACAGATTTACAGCAGATGGGGCACATCATTCGCCAATTTGAGCCCCGGCATGCAGAGGGGTATGCAGCCAATAAGGCCTCGAAGTTATGGCATAAATAGGCGGCTACGGCCAAACGGATTTGGTCAAAGCCAAACTTGGCACATCTAGCGGTACTTCAACCTCATTCTTTGATTTGCAGTAACTAGTTGCCTCCCAGGACCACTTCCATAAAACGAAGAGATCCGCAGATCATTAATATTGTGTGATCTGCCGAGTGATGACCGTTTTAGGTGGCTTATGATTGGGAGCAAATTGTTAAGCTATTATAAAGACAAATATTAAACAATTTTAAGAGAAATTATTAAACAATTTTAAGAGAAAATGACTTTAATATAACAAAACTAATGTTTTTTATGGGTTTTCATATCATATTTTATATCCTTGCAGAGGGTATTATAATTTCAGTCAAATGTTCGCAACGCAGTGAAGGAGAAATTTTCGACCCTATAAAGTATATATATTCTTGATCAGCATCACAAGGAGTGGCAATCTAGCAATGTCCGTCTGTCCGTCCGTCCGGTTGTACGCAAACTAGTCTCTTAGTTTTAAAGCTATCTGCTTGAAACTTTCCCTAAAGTTGTCTTTCTATTGGAGGTAGTATATAAGTCGGAACGAGCCGGATCGGGCTAAATAGCAAAAATAACGAAACTTATCATTTTTAGCTTTATGAGATCTAATGAAAAGTGTAATTTTAAAATGTTGCACTGTACTTCTATACCAAAATTCTGTCGAAATTTTTTTGTTTTTAAATTTGCCTTAAATTTGTATTATTGAATGGAAATAACCACTGTAGCAAATAAAATTGTTTAAAAGTTTCACATTTTGCACCGAGTTAACAAAAACATGCATTTATTATCAAAGCATGCACTCACAATGCTTTTTATGAGCACATGCTAATCATTTGTATTATTTATGACACAACGTGACTTTTTTGATCTGAGAAAACGAACTGAAGAGTCAGAACAGCTACTCCAAGTCCTATAGACATAGACCTTATATACACATATATGTATGCATATATGGGAAAGAGTTTCTTGCCTCCTTCTAGTTAGAGTTTCGTTATCGCAGCAGCTATACCCTTTCCCATGAAAAGCTATCCGAAAAGTCTGCGGTTCATTGAACGCTGTCGAGTTTGGTTATCATGCCAACACATGCTTTATAGTGTCTCCTTCAACCTGACTATATGCATAGAAGGGACTCGTATCGCATCGTAAATTCACACATTTCACGCCCCATTCAACCTTATGGATGGGGCTGGCATCCTGTATCTTGCAAATTGACAGCCAGCCGGCCACGTTCGCATTTAAATTTACGAGTCGAGACATAAATAAATGCTCTTGGCAAACGGCGGTTTCTTCATAATTTTTCCATATTTTATTATTATTTTTTCTGCCTATCTTCTATGGCCTGCCCACAGCATAATTGGCGCCAAACTTCTTTTCCGCTCTATCTATATACTTTTATGTAGGTTGGCGATGACTTCAAGCTTTGGAGTTTTACTCTTTTTGTGCTTCATTTGGAAGGTGGGTTGTCCACGTGGGTAGGCTTTTCGGGGCCCGTCAAACTTGATCGACCAAGACAAGCGGCACACGAGAAACAAGAAGCAGGAAAAGTAGTCCCATTTGATTTGCCGCCTTTCCTCCTAAAAACATTTCTCTTGTCTATGCCCCGTGGGTCGCCTTTGATAAGCTTATTTATTTTCACAGGTGGCTTACTAATTTTTTCTTCCTATATCTCAGCATTGGTCTCTTTCGGTTTATTTTTTTTATGAGTTTTTAATGCTTTAAATAATTTTCAGTCAGTCATTTATTTGGGTTATTGTTTGAGCCTTATGTGCTTTTAATCTTTCATTGAGAGAAAGAGTGAGATTGTCGCCCACTTCTGTCGTGTCATTTATTATTTAAAGTCCGAGAAATGGTTTCGTAAACCGTCTGAAGATGATCTTTGTGAAATGGGTATTTGTCGTTCACAGTTCTTAGACGATAATTCAGATTTCCATTTAAGAGTTATAACCTTCATAGACATAAATCAAGAAATAATTTTTTCTTTTAATGGTTTAAATGTGTTCTGCAAGTTTACATGCTAAAAATCTTTATTTCTATGAATACAGACTATAACAGGTTACCCGATGCTGATTAAATGATTAGATTTATGTTTATTCATTGATTGGGATCTGTAAAAATTAATCAGAAATGGAGGTGAGAGTCATCAATGCTTATAAATTGAATAACGATTTTCCTATGTTGTTCTGTCTAATATGTATTGAAAATTAAATGCATTACCATGATAAATCTTCCATTGTTCTATCTTAGCTCTCTTTACTATTTCCCACATAATATTTTGTAATCATACAAGATTGTGACTAACATGATGTTCTTTTTGCAATCTTGTAGAAAAACGATGCCAAATCCAGAGGAACTAAGATGAGGAAACCGAGTGCCACACATGCGTGTTGTAAATGTTAATGGTCCCCGAACATTTAAAACCCTAACGAATAAATTCAGCTAAACCAAAATAAAATATGCCAGAAGCGTTCGAGATTGGACTAAGGAACTCAAGAGGAACTATTAGCACAGAGAAGAAATCGAGGCAAATGTGAAACATATGTCTGTAAGAGTGTGTGGGGAGTTGCAGCTTCCAATTTTCCCTTATTGTTCTTTTCTGGCAACGAATTGAAATTGAATTAAGCACTTGCACAGACAATAAAAAAATAAACAGGGCCAGCTGAGCAATTCAATTAAGAAGACAAACGAATCGATCCCAGTTCCATTCCAAGTTAGAGGACTTAACACAAACCTCAACAAAGACAAAAGGGCCACAAGAGAGAAACTGGGTATTAATCCGGCTCGTTCTATGCCACATCCTGAGCAAGTTCCAACCCAGCGGTAACCAAGATTCTCGTCTACAAAATGTCCCTGGCCGACATGGGCACAGCCTCTCGATCCGCAGGCGGCGGGGAAGGCGGGCGACACTATGATCTGGCGACGGGCGGAGGTGGAGGAGGAGGTCATCCGGCGGGAGGTGGTTTACCCGGGGGTCGTATGACGCACTCCCTCAGCACTCCCTCTGGGGTGGATGGCACACCCTCAACTCCCCGTCACCGCGGAGGCAAAAAGCTAACCGTTCGCATCCAGATGCTGGACGATTCGATCACCATGTTCCAAGTGCAGGTGAGATTTGGGCACACCATTTTCTCTTTCAGCTATTAATCAAATTTTAGTGCTGATAATAAACCATTTAAGATCGCGAAAATATTCTTAGGACCGGTTTACTTAGTAGTAATATAAAATTTGGAATTCCATATATACCAAAATATATTTATTTGTTTTTGATCTTGAGCATCAAGCTTTAACTGCCCCTGTGAACGTTGAGTTCTGGGGAATTATAATACTAATTACGTTGAATATAAAGACCATTATAGTGCACTTGTAGCCTAAGTGCGTATTAAAGTTTAATTATTAAGTTTATATACTACCTCACAAATTGAAAAACTCTGTAACATTTGATCATTCAATCGTAGTCTCAATAAGTTTGTATTGAACTTATATACCTATTAATATCCGAATCTTGCAAAACGGTGTGTTTAACAACATTTATCCAAATATTATGTTTTTTCAAATAAGAATTCCTCAATTCCTGCTTTATTTTATAAGTATATCGTACTGAGGAAGCAACTGTCGAAACGGAAGCGATCCGTTAAATGAAAATTGCATAAAGGCATCTCCATACGTACACAACTGTGTGAATATGGAGCCACCGTCTCGTAACAAACAATTTAACGTGCAAATGGGTAAAATATATCAGAGAAGCTACTTTTAATTAAATGTGGACTGGAAATCAGCCAGAAAAAACGAGAAAAAGGGAGGAGGCTGGGATTTATGCGACAAAAGGGCCTAGGTTTTCGGTGGGCGTTGCACCCGGTTTTTTTGGCACAGGGCCAAAAAAACAAGAAATTCTTTCGCTGCTTTTTTTCCCGTGGCAAACAAGTCGAAATCAACAGGAAAGGTGGGCAGGGGATGGTTGCAGATGCGGTACATCCGTTTTCTGATCCAGAAATCGGCCTCCACTCCCCACTTTATGTGCGTACTTCAACAGCTTGGCATAGATTTTTGAATAAGGAGTTTTACTCGCTACTCAAAAAATTCCATGCGGTTAAAACTATGGTCGAAATTTGAAATATGGTTGATATACCTGTAACAGCGTTTCCTACCCTATATTTTGTCTTGATCGGGATCATTTACCACTCTAACGCCATCAATGTTTTAGAAGTCATTAAAAATTCTGTTAAAAGTCGAACATGACGTCGGTGTGGAAATGGGCTGACTTCTTTGTGAAATTCTCTTAAATCGGATTGTAAATTTGATAAAAATTTGAAATGTAATAATGTAACATTGAGAAATTATTATTTTATTATCTAAGGATTCGGCTTCATCAATGTTTATTGTTATTTTTAAACTGTCGAACTGTCGATTTCTACTGCATTAATGCAAATTAAATATATTGAGCAGGATCTCGTCTTTGCCCAGCTGCCTGGCTCTTTATGTTGGTTAATGGATTTTGTCGTAGTTTGCGCAGTTCATGTTGCTGTTGTTCTTTGCGCCACTTCCTGGCTCCATTAGCCCGGCCTAGTGAAAGGCTTAGACATTTTTGTTTCGCAGTTCAAGTGGCCACGCCCAAATGTGTACACTAAGAAATAATTGGTGTAACTTCAATTATCTTTTGTATTCAGTCTTAGAAGTTTAACTAAATGACGACAAAACAAATTCTAACTATAATGAGGTGAAATCCCTCTCTATATTGCACACTCACTTGTAAGAATAAACATATTTTAAGGCGTAACAGACTTTTCAAAAAAAAACTTGTATTGTTTTATAAGTAAGATTTGAGAAAAAAATATATCTATTGAGCTGCCTATAAAGAGAGCTATTGATAGATAAAAAATTAAATTTTAAATTTGAATTAAACTTTCCCGAAAAGAATAGGTTGTTTTTTATGTGTTAGGCGCTACCTGTACTATTCTTTCCGAGTGTAACCCCAGTTTCCCCCCAAACGGTAGACACATTCCAAAGGCTTCAACAGGCAAGCAAGAGAGCCAGCAAGAAGTGGAAATGTTTCAGGGCAACATCAAAATGGTTGCCATTGTTTGGGTGGTTTTCTGTTGGGGCAAGTGGAGTGGCCGGGGGTTGTGGTCTTGGTCGGTTGGTTTCGGGTTAGGGCTGGCTAAAGCTACCGGGTATTCTCGCAGTCCTCGTTGGGCTTTTGGCCTAACCTTTTCGTGAAACAGTTATACTTGAGGCAATGCCCCAGCTCAGTAAATGTTGTAAAGTGCTCCACACAAAACTATTTGTATGTGAGTTTCAGGCACTCGCTATCTGGAAGCTTCTCTTGACATTTCCCTCTTTTGCATTTCCCCGCGGCAACCTTAACATTTTATCCGAAGCGAGAGGTAAAAGCAAACGACATCATTCTTGTTTTTCTCACTGTCACCGCTAAATATATCTTAGGATGTGACGCCGTGATTTTTTTTAAACATAATCTAAAATAAGTATTGATATTTTTGAAAAATCGAACTGTATACCAAGGTTTCATTGTTGGGTGGTAGTTGAGTTCTTTAACACGCTTAATACCCTTTGTATTAAATTAATATAAAATAATTATAAAGAACAAACAACGACATAGAACATTTAAAAACATTCCGTGTTAAAATAAAATGAAAAAATAATAACAAAATATATGAAAATTAGTTCCATGGTATTTCAAATGTCTATGTCAATTGAGTCCTTCTTGCTGGGCGCATTAAAATTCAATCAAGTCGCAATTTTTACTGTGCACAGAATTTCTGGTAAACCACAGCGAACATGTAACATACTATATATATTGACATGGTTCATTTTTTAAAAGTACAAGCCTTGAGAAAGCCCTGTCACCCAACCCTTTTAGATTCATTTTACCAACTACAGCACAGCTTTATGTTTGTGTGTTGGTCCGTTAACTAGAAACGAATATTGTTGCATGGTCGGTCAACTGCATTATTAATCAAGGCTTGTAATGGATTTTGTGGCTTGTAAACGGTAATAGGGTTTTGAATTTAAATGAGAGAGGTGAACAGCACGAGTACGATGAGGATGTGGGTAAATTTTGTGGTCAGCTCCTGACCAACAGAGCAAATTTTCAAGCCAAAATCTCACAAATACCTGCTGAAAGAAAACTTAAATTTTGAACAATGAAATGTTCTGCTTCGTTCTGTTCAATTCAAGCTTACTTTGATTTTTTAAATTTAAAAAGTTTTTTATGTAAGGAAAATAATTGTTGCTAGAAGTTTCTAGAAAATCAGTTTTTTAGCGCATTTTCAGAAGTTGCGACTCAGACTCTAGGGAATTTTTGTATGACGCCCTTTTCTGAATTTATCTAACGAAAGCTTTTTTTCCAAATTATGTGTTATGCCTGTCTTCTCCCATGGGTGCAAACAATATCAAGAGCTTATCTCGGTGGGGAGAACGAGTTTTGCTGATAATGCAAAATAATAAAAGTTCATATAAAGTTATGACGCAAACAATAGCAGTTTTGGGTTCTGAAGGCTGAATAAGTCAAACTCAAATTTCTAGAAAGGTAAGGATTGTTAAAACATATGTCCATTTGCTTATAAACTTATAATTTGAATTATCATTCCTATGCAGATATACGTTGACAAGAAATAAACATGAGCCATGCGCTTAGCATTAAATTAGTTTTTCAATGTTTTAAAATATTCGATTATTCCGTTGAAATAAAAGTATTCCGATTATTGTGAATATATGAATATGGCTCTTCAACAAACTCTTTTGCTTATGTGTATGATACAGAACTTATGGTACAGAACTGTCCAACCCGTCTTCACAATGTTCTTCTTGCACTCAACTAAAACTTTTTTATAAAAAGAGAATACCTTTTTTCAAACATATTCTTAGTAACTTAAGTTATTAAACACTCTTTTCAAACTTCTCAACTTTACTTGGCAATGTTTGGCATTAGTTGGCAGTCGACGCCAACCCCCAGATTTGGCATATGTGTATGTAGGTAAATCAATGGGGTTAGCTGAGGCCATTCGATAGGCAAGGACAATACAAGTGGAACGAGATGAGAGGTAACGCCCTTTACCACATTTTTCGCCACCCGTTTTCAATTGCCACAGTTTCGTATGCACTGAAAATTAGAATTTTTTTGCAGATGTTAAGATTTAGAGAAAAAATAATATAATAGTAAATGCTCCTCAATTTTAGAGAGAATAATAGAAAAGGTAAATAATCCTGTCAAATTTAATGTAATACATTTTTACGTAGAGTGTTTTTAAATTAATTTAAGGTAATTGAAATGTTCTGTATATTCTTATTTGAAACATAAGATGCTCGATTCCTGTTTTCCTTCCAAAAACATTTGAATTTCCTGATTTTTTTTTAGTGTAGATGTAGAACCTGCAGGTTGCTTTCATGCTGTTGCTAATGCTCCTTGTCCTGCTTCTGTCTCCCGATGGCGACAAATTGAACAGCCGACAATTGTAGGCCAACTTTTCGCATCTGCCTGTGTATATATAGGGGTATTGGTCGGTGGAAGGGTGGCTTGCATTTAAAAGCTTCCTGTCGTTTTCCCATTTCCTTTCTCGGTTCCATGCAGAAGTCGCCAAAGTTAATTGGTTTGTTTTGTAGTTGAAGAAGATCCTAAAATTGGCCTAAAAAGATAAATGGCTCTGAGGGACCTAGCCGCTTTCAATGAATGGCCAGCATATACATATATGCGTGTGAGCCTGTATGTTTGGGCCAGGAAAATGTCAGAGCTTGGGCGTGGCTGTAGCCTCATTGTGGCTCCTGGCTGGAAATCACAAAACAATGATGCTGCGGTCGCAGGAGAGTGCATGCAGCTCTCTGTAGAACTTTGGCACACATTCATCTCGACTTTTCCGTCCCGCACTTGTTTGCCAAATTAATTAAATTATCCCGGAATGGGGACAGGAATGGTTTTAAAAATAAAGCAAATAGCGATTTAGTTGACAATTCGTGTCTGTTTTACCACTGCTCATCTGTTCGTGTTGTTTCACCACTCCGAATGGGCCTCTAAATTACGTTTGCGACAAGAAGCAATACTATGAATTGCGCTAATGGTACATCAAGGTGGTCGATGGCACCAAATTGTGGTCTTAATGGTATTACATTTTTCCTTCATTTTCGAATTAAATTTTAAATTTTGTTTTTCGGAATTATTGTGTGTTCACAACATTACATAGAGTCTTAAAGTTTCAAAAAAAAATAATGGTACGTTTCAAGTTTTATTTAGTCAAACCCAGAAAAATTGGATGTCTTTATTGCCAAACTTGTTAGATAGTTCAAAGACGTATTGAAATTAAAAAAATAATAACCAACTCTTGTAATGAATAAATACCGTGAATATTAAATAAAGCTTTCTTATAATATCTACAATCCTATCAATATAAATAAAAAATTTCATTATTGAAAAAATTAAATTAAATTAAATTTAATTTTATTACTTCAAATTGTTTTTTAATATATCAATTTCAAGTTTTCTGCAAAAATATTAAATTTTAAAAAAGTTAAAACCTTAGGCCGCAATAAACTCAAAATCCACCAGAAATTTCTTTTGTTTACTCGCAGTCTTCTTTTCGTTATCGAATTTACAGCGGAAACTGACAAACTGTCGCATACTCCCAGTTTTTATCGCTTTTTAGGTTTATCTTTATTTAATATGCTGACCAGCCACGCCCAATTCCATTCGACTTGTGCGCTAAAAAACCGCCAAAGCAATTTGGGTGTCAGCCAACGAATTTGTTGCGTTTTAGATCAGGGATTACATACAATTGGAAGCATAAAATATTTAAATATCACACAGAAAGGGCTGAGACGGTTTAATAAAATGTTGGCACGCCTGCAGAACATTTCACACTCTGATAGATTGTTGCCCGCTTTTATGGAGCTGGCAACGAAATCGAACTCACAAAGCACTTTGCCTGATTGGTTGGCGGCGCTAGCAAATCCCTTTATCCAAACACCAAAACATTTGCCGGGGACTGGTTTCTTGATCCCAAATTAATATATTCCAGGAGTTCCACACACGGTCTGTCGGTATTAAGAAATTGAAATTGGAGTCTAATAGGTGTGGCTTTAGCAAATATATGCGTACGGAACTTAAAAGGTTTGCCATTAATATTTGTGTGACTAATTTGTTAATTATTCAAAGCAATTAAGTAAGTGGCTTGAGATATTAAATTTGGGATAGTCTTGGAATGATGATTTCATTAGAGAAGATAATTTTGTATCAAACCAACTTCTGTACATTAAAAATTTTTATTGACGATACGGATAGTCTCAGCTCAATTTTGTTTTTTGCATGTGATTGGGCAACATTTAAACAAAATGTGTGATTTTTTTCTTCCATAAATATTAAAAATTGACTGAGATACAGGCAATCTCCGGCAGCGCCTCGAAGAAAAGATGTTTTGCGGTGTACACGATAATCGGTCACAGAATCATCCGAAATGAAAAAATCCAATTGCATTAGTTAAAGAACAAGATTTCTCAGGTAACGCTGTCAAGTTTTTATTTTTTTTTTCGATTTTTTAAGGCACTTGAAAGACAAAAACACCGATTTTCGCCTAAAACGTCGAGATATTTGTTGCTCTAAAAATTATAAATTTAAAAAAAAAGGAGGAATTTAGTTGAGGATAACTGTGCAAAATTTAAAAACGAACCGTCCGATAGATTTTGCAGGATCGTGTACACCGACTTTGAAAAGGGTAACTTTTCAGGAGAGCGTTTTAAAGTTTTGGAAACCCATACAAAACGAGCTAACTTACCTACGTTCAACTGCCCATAAGTTCGGAAGCTTTACTCGGATCGATCTAAAACTTTAACACAATATTCTCAAGATGTTGTGCATTCAGAAAAAAAAATATTTAAAAAAATGCAAAAAAAAAATAAGACTATACCCCCCTCCCCCTTAAAGAATTTGGTTCTTGTTGACGAAATCCGATGGAGGTTGTAAGCGTTTTAGGCTAATAATAACAACTTACTAAGATTTGCCAAGCTGGAGACTGTAATTTTCTTTCCTATTATAGGCTTTCAGAGGGTATTATAATATCAGTCAAAAGTTTGCAACGCAAAAGTATTTATATTTCTGATCAGCATCACCAGGAGTGCCAATCTAGTATGCCAGTTTTTAAGATATCTGGATGAATCTGTCCTAAAAAATAAATTTCTGCTGTTGGTATTATATAAATGCCTAAATATTAAAACTTCGTTGTTTTAAACATACACGTTACAACAGAATCAATGTTTTTTACAATTTTGGAATTACCGTTTTTTTTTACAAAATCGGACGACTATATCGACATAGCTTTATTAAAAATGTAAAAATCCAAGATATGTTAAACCATCCCTTTATTTTAATATATATTTAAACTAATTAAATAACGTTGTGCGTGATTAAACAAAATAATCCTTTAATATGTTTCATTAGGCATGGTTTAATTATAAATTCCATTTCTTAAAAGCGGAATTAATCTTAGATACAATATTTTTTAATAGGTTTTTTTCTTAATAGTTCTGTAATATTTTTTTAATATGTTTCATTAGGCATAATTTAATTATAAATTCAATTTCTTAAAAACGGAATTAATTAATACAATTTTTTTTAATAGTTTTTTTCCTTATAGTTTTGTAATATTTTTGATGGATATAATTAAAATTAAATTAAAAGAGCATCTCCTGTTATATTTTGAAATTGAAACTAGGTAATAGGATTATTTAGGTTGATTATGAGTTAGCTAGGGTAAGAAAATAATTTCAAAGAAGAAAGGAAGCTCCAATTTCGGTTCATACTGCCAACGTGACCAAACTTTTTTGTAACCCAATTGCAGCCGTCAAAGCAATTGAAATTTATTTAAATGCAATCAGACGCAACGCCTACCAAGCACTTGGCGTGTGGCGTCATCTGCGATGAACAGCAAACTACATTCTATATTAAATTTTTAACGAGCTTAACGAGTTCTGGTATCTAAAAACAAATTTAAGCTTTTTATGGAACTCGAGAGCTCAGTCGCCAACCCGATTCCTTTTTCCTTATGAGATTGCCCCAATTTGTCTTGTACATTGTTTTCCCTCCCACACAGAGACTTGTAATTACTTATTCGGCCTTCAAGAGTGTTTAACAAATGCCTGCACCCCAAAACTTTAGATTTGCTTCTCACCTACTGCACTTCTGAAATCCTTAACAAGAATAAAAAAATTGTAAACAAGAAAGGAAAGCTAACTTTGGGCGGAGCCAAAAATCCCAACTTCTGCCGATCTCGGCCGTTCCGACTTATATACTGCGTGCAATGAAACGACGGGTGTGTGCAAAGTTTCAATTCGATATATTTTAAACTGAGAGACTAGTTCGAAACAGACCGACGGACAGACGAACATGCTTATATCAACTCAGGACGCGAACCTGATCAAGAATATAAGGATCGACCGACTATATCCTATAGCTGCCATTAAACTGAATGCCATAACTTTGGTGACTGTAAAGTTAGGAAGTTGTGATTTTTTATGAGTATTAAGAATGTAACATATGAATAATTTTGGAGAATATAATTTACAGAATATTCTGCAAGGGTATATCAACTTCGGCTCCGCCCGAAGTTAGCTTTCGTACGACTATATGTACGACTATATCCTATAGCTCCCATAAAAACAATAGGGTGAAATCGGGTAAAATTTAATGAATTTCAGTATATTTCGCACAGAGTATAAGCTATTAACATACATTTTTCCAAGTCTTATTTATTAACGCAAACCTTGATTAGGGTAAAAGCTCTTGACGGTAGGACGTCTATATCTTATAGGTTCCGTAGATAAAATTGATTGAAAATATCCTTTTTCTTTTTTTAACGACATTTTTGCAGTATAAAAGCTATTGACATGAAACTATGCAAATCTAATTTATTTATATATAAAATATTCTTTTCGCTACTTTTTCAATTTTAGCAATTTCGGCAAAGTCTGCTAGGGTATTAAAACTTCGGCTTGCCGAAGTTAGCTTCCATCCTCGTTTTAATATAAAATTCAAAGGAACTGGTCAAAACAGTGGATAGCAAAATATTTAACAATCATGCAGGAATTTAAGAAAAATTTTTTGATTTAGATAGTCAAAGAAAACTTTATTTGTATCGGATTGGAAGTAAAGTGGAGCACCACGAAATGATCCTTAATCAGAAATAATTACTTTTGCTCCCCATAATAAAAGGATTTGTATGTTAATATTTTGATCATTTAATATAGATTCTTTATAATATTTTTAAGCCACTAAAAGCAGAGTTCTCACAACAAACATTATTTTAATGCTGTGTTTCGCAAAAGCCAAGATAGAACTGAAGCTTTTTTGTGGCTGCAGCAACTCAAAATTGTCAGTGGTGATACTCGTCGCCGGCGTAGTTTATAGTTTACATCAACTGAACCTGCTTTGACCTTTCCAAAACAACTGAACAAACAATGAACCGAACCGAAAAAAAGTATCCGAACTAAACGAAAAAAACTAGAGTCTTAACTAATCAACTAATCAAATGATGAGGACAGACAAACAATCAAAAATGATTATATCGTCTTGGCTGATGATCCAAATCTGAAATATAAGAATACTTTTAACAATTAATACTTTCACGTGTTACATTTACTCATTTACGTTTTAGGTATTGAATGATTTTTAAAATTTAAAAGAATTGAAATAATTTTTCTTTTATATATTATGCAGGCTAAAGCAATAGGACGTGTGCTGTTTGAGCAAGTTTGTCGCCAGCTAAATTTACTCGAGGCCGACTACTTTGGCTTGGAATACCAGGAGGTGTCGACACATACCAAATACTGGCTAGACCTGGAAAAGCCAATGAATCGCCAAGTGGGCCTCTCACTCATCGATCCAGTGCTGCGCTTCTGCATCAAATTCTATACACCCGACCCAGCGCAGCTGGAAGAGGAGTATACCAGGTAAAAATAAACCTTAACAAATTTACAAAAATATATATTTTTGTAAACTTTGAATATATTAAAAAAATATATATATATGCTTTTTCAGGTATTTGTTCTGCTTGCAAATCAAACGGGATTTGGCTACAGGTAGTTTGCAGTGCAATGACAATACGGCGGCCCTTATGGCCAGCTACGTTGTTCAGGCGTCATGCGGCGACTTTGTGCCTGAGGACTATCCCGACCATACGTATCTGTCCTCTTACCGCTTTGTGCCCCATCAGGATGCCACCATGCAACGCAAGATTATGGAAAACCACAAAAAGCATGTGTATGTAGATCGGGATTTACCTGATAGTTCCAAATACCTATAATTATTCGTTTATTTTGTCATCAGGGGCCAATCGCCTGCGGAGGCGGATCTTAACCTACTTGAGACGGCACGGAGGTGTGAGCTTTACGGCATGAAAATGCATCCGGCGAAAGATGTGGAGGGAGTGCCACTCAATCTAGCTGTTGCCCACATGGGCATTACGGTCTTCCAGAACATCACGCGCATCAACACTTTCTCCTGGGCTAAGATACGCAAGATTTCATTCAAGCGCAAGCGCTTCCTTGTCAAACTGCATCCCGAGGGTTATGTAAGCTTAGTTTTAAAAGTCGCTTCGTTTCAATGTATTAATGGATTTTTATGTTTAGGGCTATTACAAGGACACCGTAGAGTTCTTTTTTGAAGGCCGTAACGAGTGCAAAAACTTTTGGAAGAAATGTGTTGAGAATCATGGATTCTTCCGTTGTACGGCTGTACAAAATACGCCTCGTCGCAAAACACGCGTCCTCTCCCGAGGCAGCTCATTCCGGTACTACTGTTGATTTAAATTGCTCTAAACAAGAACATTAAATACTAATACATATTTCATTGCAGCTATAGCGGCAAAACGCAGAAGCAGATTATCGAGTTTGTCCGCGAGAATTATGTAAAGCGTCAAAACTTCCAAAGGTATGCAGCGGATTACGCTGAGATGGCATTACTTTTTAATCCCAGTCCTAATCGTCAGCTTTTACCAATACTCTTGTTAATTATTTGAGATAAACTTGAAATTATTGTGGAAAAAGTTGCTTGATTTTTTCTTTGAGATATTTCCTTTTACTTACTTTTATGGTTGAGAAAGGAATTTATAAAGCTTTGGCTTTGCAGCTTATCTTTCCTTAAGCAAACCCGATTCCTCTCAAAATTCTTTACAATTTTCTTAAGAGCATTAAATATAAATAATCTTTAAATTTATATATATATTTATATTTTTAAGCAAATACAAATAATATATTCATCAGCCTACATTGCCAAATCATCAAGACTTCGTTCTCATCTAACTCGACTCGTTTGTTCGTTATTTCTTTACACTTTTTAAGACACACGTTTATTGTGGTTTTTGTTTATTATTTTAGAATGAATTTCTTTCTTTTTATTACCCAACCAACTTAACCAAAAAAAAACACAACATGCAAAAGAAAACATAACAAGGTCAAAATGATGCGCCTTAGAAAAGAGAAGAGGATTTAAAAAACCAATTGGTACAAAAGCATTAACTGCAACAACTAAAAATAGCACAAAAACTTAAAAAGTTCAATAAAAAATTAAAGAAAAACCCCAAAACAAAAACCCAAACCTAGTCAAATGTACAGCAAAGAACGACAAGCATTTCAATTTATATCACCATTGTTATTTATTTAATAATTTAAATTACCATTTTTGATTTATTTTACTACCCAATGTGTGGGTGTGTATCCATATGTCAAAAAGTGTACGAGTTTATTGTAATTCAGTTAAATTTTAAAATAAATGTAGGTAGTCATTGATTTAGTGAACCGAATTCACAACCGTATTGGCAAACTCTTTATGTGTACGATACTTCAAAGCATTCTGATTTGTTCATCCATTCAAACCACCTCCCCTTCCCGCCTTTAGCCTCACAAATATTTTAATCATTGCAAATCATCGATAGGGAAATACCTCATCCCTAGTTTGGCTTGCACCTAAAAGTTATATTTAAAAATAATCATCTTATGGTAACTCCCCCAATGCTCCTATTATCGTATGTTTTTGTGTGTGTTGTTGCTAAGACTGTACCACAATCATAACGTAGATGGTAAGCCAGCTAAATACCCTTCTCCCTTGCTCCCACTAAATGTGTAGTAAATTAGTCGGTTATTTCTAAAAAAAAATACTCATTTACATAACCTTAGAACTTGATCAATGTTAATAAAAATGTAATTGATAAGATATTCGCGGTAAACACCGTGCAAGAACTAACAAATATATGCTTGTACATAATTAGGACAAATAGTTCAGTTAATTCAGTTAATTATTCTAACCATCTTAACAACTTTTTTCGTTTAAGTAGAATGGATAGATCCAAGCCCCCGTATGATAATTGATGTTTGTTGTGTTATAATATATACTTTATAGTTGCTTACAAACTGTTAAAAGTCCCTTTGTTTTTGTTTACTATAATTTGAACTGAAATGACTTCGCTAAGTTAAGCAGAGCTCCCAGAGCGACAATCCTATCGAAAACAAAACTAAAATCTTTCAACCAAACTGTGCTAAATAAACAATACTCTCCAACTAAACTATGCCCTAAAGCAAACGTTAAACTAAAACCTAACAAAAAATGCTAAAACTTAAAAGAGTAACTAAAAACAAAACAGAAAAATCAAAAACTGAGCATGTGAAAATATAAAACGTGGTATCCTCTTGTCTTTTCTTTTGCTGCAGGTCTCAGTCGTTCCGGCAAGGGCCACTGAATGCTAGTAGCCGAAGTCAATCGCATACGTATGTGAATTCCAGCATTTCAGCCAATCCCCTACTCCCAATTGACACTGGTTTGTATTTATTTCGTTACTCGTTTTGAAGAATATATGTATTCGATTTGATATCATTTGGTTCGTCATGATTTGATTTTTGATTTCGGGCTTTATTTGCTAGCTGATGAATGAATAATGTCTAGTCGAGTCGAGTTATTGTGTTTTGATAGTGTATGCTCTATGATTTGTAATGATTTTGGTTATAATTTTGCATTGCCTTTGATTGCACGCTGCAGCGGCATGGGATTATCGCAATCAATGCAACGACTCGACGACCCATTCTCTGACGAAGAGGGCAGCGGATACCTTGGATCGCCGACGCGACAATCCTATCGACCACATGCGTTCTCAAGTGAGTTCTTCTTGTGACATACATTTCTCAACATTGCCAATAACGGCTTCAAAATACTATTACAGGTCACAGCAGCCCAGGTGGAGATCTATCAGACGAAGAATTATGCAGCGGACTCGCCAACCTCCCAGGAGGAAGCGGAATGCTCGGCGGCGGCGGCGGAACGGCAACACCACTCGGGAGTGGCTATGGACCAAATGAATTCGAACCGCTCACTTTCACCCCAGGGTCCGCAGTCGTGGACTATACCCACCCACCCCAGTCTCTGCCAACAGCGCGTTCCCGATCACTCTTGTGTGCCTCCAGGCGATCCCAATTTAAGTGAGTCCTTAGTGTGTTTTAGATAAAACTTTTAATGATTTTTAAGTTAGTTATGTACTATAATTTTTGCGTTAAAGTCGTCGTACACTTAATTTCTATGGTGAATTTATGATTGTTCTTATAAAAGTTATTTTTAGTACCCAGTGCTCCCTCTGATTCAGATTTCAGTTACATATCAATTTAAGAATCTTATATTTTAATGATTACTTTTTTAAGAATTCATAGGTGAGTCTTTTCTTAAGTAACTTATGTTTTACATAATTAAGTTAATCTTACTAATTAGCAATAGTTTATAATTTTTCGCCCATAAAAAGTGGGATTATGTAATCTAATGATTTCTTTTTCAGTGATCAAAGTTTGTTTTGCGGTCTGATCAGTTAAGTTCAATATTATTTTTGTTTGGTTTTATATCCGTTTGCATTTGCGTTCCGATTCGCGATGAGTGTTTAAATCGGAATTGTTGTTTCATCCGTCGCGTTCAGGTCTGAGCCACTTGTCCCACTTGAACAGCAGCAGCACCCCTCGTCGAGTCTCAGTGGGATCCCAAGCGTTTGTCCCTGCGTCGCCGCAGCTCATCAGCATCAACACGCACAGCAGCAGCACCAACCACAACACTATGCACAACACCAGCACAGTGGGTCGTTCGGTGGATCTCAACAGCTCCATGGAGTTGGAGTTGGAGGAGGAGGCGGAGGACCCGGGAACTGTGGACACGGAGGAGGAGGGGGAGGAGGAATTAGTCGAGGAGGAAGCGGATTCGGACTTGACGGCATCTACAATCAATCGGGAGACTATGGGGGCAGCCTCAGCGGCGGCAGCATCGGCCTCGGCTTTGGGCTCGGGCTTGGCCAGTGCCCATCGTCCGCAGCTTCGGTCACAGGAGTCCCAGTCGCAAACTGTCACGCCAGTCCATTATAGCAGTACCAGTTATTCGATGTCTAAGCAGTGCATGCTTAACAACGCCAACGCCAACGCCAACTCGACCGAAACAGAGACGGACAACATAATCTACACCGACATCAACGACATGGGGCACTACAAATATCCGGACTTTCACAGCTCCGCTCACCAGGAGCATAAGATCTCGAATAGCGAGCACTTGAATCTTAACGAACGGAACGACATATACGCAACTGTTAATCGCAAGGCCAAGTCCAAAATCCGTGAGAAGCATTTCAGCGATGAGTTCATCGATCAGTCAATACTTCAGTACACGAGGGCCAAGCAAATGGGGCTTAGCCAAGTTCCTGTTCTCTTGCAACAACCTAGCACCTCTGCTTATGCAGCTGCTGTACAGGAAAGAAGTTACACCAGCGGAAACTATCAATATCACAATGATCTCAATCACCCCTCGGAGTCTTCATCCTCCTCCTATTTTGGCACTGGATTCGGCACCAAGCGCTATGGTCAAGGGGAACGGACAAAGCTTGCCCAATCCGAAAATTACCTTACTCCTTCGATGGACTCGCAGAGCTCCCGTCACACTCACTCACTCCCCCGAAACTCGGAGCTATCTGGAGTTGATTCAGTGGACTCGTATGACAGTCACTACATCACTCATCACTCGGTGGGCATTCTTCCACCCACCCGTCTCTCTTCCTCATCGGAGAAACTTGAATACCAGCTGGCTTCGGGTAATCTCTATTCTACGACTCAGTTTGTAAAACCCGAAGGAGCAGTCGCACACTACATGGACGATGAAGAGGAAGAGGAGGAAGATGAAGGTGAGGAGGGCGAGAATATTTACGACCAGGTGGAACGAGAGTCATGGCTAAAGAGCAGCTCTTGCAAAGATCTCTTCGAGCGCTACAGTAGCTCCTACTACGATCGGGAGCTACCTAAACCCATGACCGCTTTCGACAAGGAGTTCCTTTCCTCCAACCGGATCGACTCGCCAGTGACTCGATACGATGATTCCAGGCATTCCTTATATGTGACAAAGAATCATTCGATCGATGCACACCAGGACTTCTCTCCATTACCACAAAGCAAGGTATACTCTTCAAGTTACCCGGGTAGCACTTACAATACCCAGGAGCATAAGCGCCAGCACGGCCATCATCTGGACTACTCGGGTTCCCAAGACGACATCTCACAGGACAGCTACGAGCTGCTGGAGAAATACGACATTGACTTCTTTGGAGGACGTGGCCGCTCCGAGGACCATATCCGGTCCTGTTCACTGGACTCTGGAAACTACATACCAAGTGACGACGAGTCGGTATCTGAGGGCCATCAACAGCACAAGTATCGCTCGGCAATCGACGTCAAATCAAAGTCTGCGGCGGATATAATGAATGAGATCTGGGACGCAGAGGACCCTCGCTATTTGCCGCGCGAGAAGCTCTCAGTTAAGTCGGACGGCAACTTCTACAAAAAGATTCAGGAGGCTCTGACCCGCACATCTAGCCAGGAGAGCCAAAGTGAGCTGTTCGAGACAAAAATTTCGCGCAGCTCAGACTCCAGCAAGAAGTCCCGCGACAGTCTCTACCACACAGATAGCAAAAAATCTCGGGAGACAACCAAGAGCAAAACATCGGTGGTTTCTAGCCAGGATTCCAAAGAATCGTTAGTGGGTGATTGCTTTGGACGAAACTACGAGATGCCCACCACCACCGGAAAAAAAGTGAAACAGTTTACTAAGAAAGAGCTCTACGATAAATTCGCCCAGTCCAGTCAGGACTCGAAGAGTGATTACTATGATGCCGTCGAAGCTGGCTTAGAACCAACACCGGAGGGCCTATACTCTAGGCCAAAGGTTAAGAGTCACGATTGCCTGCTTTCGGACACACACAGCTCCACTGCAAACAGTTCGTTCTATGACAGCCGAGATACTTACTCCACGTTCCCCAGCAACAAGACGCATAAGACATCAAAGGTACACTCTATCAGCCTGCAGAATGTGGAGATAGAACGCAATGCCAAGTCCTTCGGCAGCAAGTCACCGGAATCTGTATCGACTCCGGCTTCTGGAAAACGCTGTCGCGAAAAGGATATCCAGACAGGAGACTCACTTGATCAGATGGCACCCATTAAAAGAGGGAACTCACAATCCTGCAAAATATCTGCTTTTCGTAGACGATCGGACAGTGAGAATATCTTCAGCTTTGACCAGGATCGCATCGAGTGCATCCAAAAGTACACCAAACAGTGGGAGGGCCAGCAGCCGAAAGACGAGAAAAGCAAGCAAAGTCCTGAGTATCCGCTCACTCCCGAGCTCGTTTCGGAGTTTGAGAAGCAGCAGGCGCGCCTGATAGCCCACCAGAAGATAACACGTAAGGAGGAGCTAATGGCCAAGACGCACTTTGAGGAATACAATCCGATTATGGTGCCTTTAAATTACTCATCACATGCTACAGTGGAGCGCACCAAGAGCGACCCTAACTCGCTGGCAAATCGCGCCCGTTTGGGAAGCAATTCTCGGCGCCATGTGCTTATGCACCAGAAGTCCATTGATCTGACACCCGCTGATTCAAATTCCAGCGATGAGGACTACATCTACAAGCAGATCCCGAGTGCTCCACCTCTTTGCAAGGCACATGGTAATTTTGAAATTCCTAAGTGCTACGATGGCACAACTTCTTCACAAGTCACTCAGGAGCTGCCCAAAACTGGCTTTGAGCTTCCGAAAAGCTTCTTTAGGGATTACGAGAGACGTTTTACCAAAGTTCTAAAGGAAGACATTCCGTATGTGCTTCATAAGCGCCATATTATGAATGGCACCGCTCCTTCGCCCAGCGAGAAGAAACACACGAAGCCCAAGTCTCCAAAGTCCCCGAAATCACCCAAGTCTCCAAAATCTCCGAAATCGCCAAAATCCCCAAAGGCAAGCAGTGGAATTCCAGGTGTTGGTGCAACCGACTTCCTGCCTGATATTCTTGACAGTTTGTTGCCTCCGGACACTAAAGAGTTCCTTTTCACGCAGAACATTGACCTTTCAAAAGTGGACCCCATCACTTTGGAGATCGACAAGACCATACCAACAATTCATCTTTCGTCGCCGAAGCGAGACATTACAAAGCAGATGGACGCCTCAACGCTTGAGAAACTCAATAAGAAACTTAGCCAGATTGAAAGCGATTCGGCCACCAGTTCGCGAACGGAGAGCATGCAGCAGCAAAAGCTTGAGCAAAAGCAAATGGAGCTCATTCAGAGTCTTCGCAAAGAGCTGCAGGCCAATGCCCGAAAAGCCAATAAGACACGGGTTATTCCTAAGACCAAGTCGGCCGGAAAGTCAAAAAAAGGAAAGACCCGCATTACCTCCTTCTCCTCCGATGATGAAAGCTTGGACTCGGATGATGTATTTGGCTCAGCGGAAGCCATACCCGATCGTTTAGAGTTTTCGCCGCCGCAATCACGTAAGGAGATCGAGTCTATTCTTCGCATCGAGCAGAGCAGGCTCATATCAGCGGCTTGGGGTCGTGGGCAGACAATGAGCTCCACAGAGATTGAGGGTTCCCCCCCTCAATGCCGGCGACTGGCTGATTTAGAGAGTCGCTACCAAACCCAAAAGCTAGACCCTCAGTATGCAAATGCCTCTGAGCTGAGACGCATCTCTGAGCGCTCTATTTCAATACCCTCATCGGAGGATGAACCCCATATGCCAATGCGAGGCCGCATTGACGAGTGCACGAATGATTATCAGAGGAACGAGAACATCCCTTCACCTATTCTGGAGCATGCCGAGTTCTTCCGTAGCAACGACGACATTTACGAGACGTGCCACGAAGAGCGGATCACTGGCTCAGACATTGACTATACTCTAAAGAAGCAGACAGCCAGCGGGGCCAAGTCCAAAGTGAAGTTAATCGAAGAGATAATTGACTCTTCGATTGTAATGCGGTCCAAAGGTCATGCTCCTATCTTGTTCGCCCATGCACGTCTAAATCTCTCGGAGGGTTCAGTGTCCCTGCAGCGCCAGAAGGCAACACAACAGCAATCGCCGACAACAGAGAGACGAACCAAGAGCCTGGACACTCCGGTAATCTCGCTTCACCGCCTGCCTCCCATGAACGCCTTCTCCTCAAAGGACGACACCGTGGGCTTTGAGGAGGAGGCAGAGATTCTCGAGGAAAAGTCTCTGGAGCGGAAGAATCAAATGGCCGCTCAGGATGAAGACACCGCCGACAGCGTTCACTCCTGTGCAGGTTCAATACCCACACAGAGTAGTTACCAAGCAAACGGCAGAGATTCGCTGCTAAGTGCAGTAACTATCGATAGCGAAGAAGCCCAACTGCTCAACCAACTGCGATACATCGAAAAAATAGCCCTACAAGGCGTCAAGATCAAGGACAAGAAAAAGTCAAAGATGAAGCTTCGGAGCGGTGATCACCTCATCCTAAACATACCAAAATACAGATTTACAGACTGGTCGCCCTACAGCTCAGCCAACAGCTCCCGTAAGACTTCGCCTGGAGTTTCCAGAGCCAGCAGTATTGAGAGTACTGGTAAAGGCAAACTAAAGACCTCGGAACCCTATAAAGGAAAGCCAGTCTCCAGAAGTCGTCCGGAGTCACGACGGACAAGCGCCGATGATATAAAAGCAAGAGATGGAAGGGGCAGTAAGAAATCCAGTCCCAAAGAGCGTCCCAGATCCATCGAGATGCGCCGCCTGAGCAAAGACAAAAGCAAATCCCAAGAAGAGACCGAGGCAGATATTGCCAAGCGAAAGGAACGCCAACAGAAACTATACGAATCAGCAATGAAACAGACCATCACCATGCTAAGTCCGGTGAAAGACACATTGCCGGCCTTTCCCGCTCCCGAGGATAAAATCCTCGTAAAGACAGACGGCGACAAGATAATTATTGAAACAGAGTTCAAATCAAAGGCTGAAGATCATGTTTTGATCGCCAAAAGTCCCAGAAAACTTGACAATTCGCTTGTGAAGTTCAGCCGCAGCTTTGACGAGGGACGCAGTCCTGACAAGCTGGATAAAGCAAACCGCAGCTTTGAGGATCGCAACAAATCCTTCGAAGACTCCGAGAAGTCAGACGCTCCCGAAGACATGCTCATAAAATCGCCAAAGAAAATTGCCAAAGCGCAGGAACTGAAGCAAAAGATCGAGGGCAGTGTTGTCCACAAGAAGATAGATGGAAAATCGAGTAGTCTCGAGAGACCAGCCGAACATCATTACCTCGGTCCAGATGTCAAGGCGCGCAGTCTTGATGACAAAAGACAGGCGACCGAAGCGGCAAAGAAAAATGAGGAGAAACCTGCATCAGTGGCTAGAAGTGCTGTCGGAGATCGCCGAATGTTTGCCCACCAATATCAAGTCCAAGAGGTAAGCACTTATAAAATTGTATTTGATATCTTTATTAGCGATGAATTTAGTGAAAAACCACTAATGCATTCAAGCATACCAGACAAATTAAATGGTTTGAATATTTAATCTATAAAAACATGTAAAGAAAAGAACATTTCATAGGGTATAATCTTGTGGATTGTCACAATTTTAAATTGTTTGGTTAGATTCAATTGGTCCATAGACATTCGTAATGTGCCGGTCAATATCTATCAACAAACTAGCAAGTTTCCAAATCGTACCATTACTTTAGAAGTTATAAAAGTGTTTATTGTGAACTGCTTACTTGAAAAACGGAGTTAATATATTTTAAAGAGCGAGAATTGTTCGCGGGGTCGGGGTTGCAGCTTGTGGTGTTGGCACTGCAGTTCGGCAGGTGGCGCCAACTAAGAGGGTATCTTTTAGTAGAAGCACTGGAATAAAGCGTTTTCATTGTTCTCCATATCTTCATTCTTTATTTGCCAGTTTTTAATTTTATCTAAGTTATTTTAAAATGTGCTTAAAAAGTGGTTTCTATTAGTAATGTATTCCCCTTGACTTAGTCCCGGGCTTTTGTTTTGCTTTTGTCTTCCGATATACAAATATTGTCTAGCTTAAATAATAACTTTAATGTTTTGGACGAGTGTGACCGTTGGTAAAATCATTTAAATTAGTGAGTTAGGCATATATAAGAGCTATACATGGGCCTGATTTAGATCAAACTTAGAGAATGGACCTTGCCGCACCATTTTTTTTATGACAGTTAAGGATAAAGCGATCCCAGATTTTTTCGCATAGTAACATAATATTCAGTTCGCAAAATGGCTAAGAAATCGAATAAAATCCATAGCTGAGCCTTAAAATCGGTTTTATAAGTAAATATGTATTATTTTTTCAGCCTCATCAGGAGGATATCGACATGCAAGCGGTGATCTCGGAGCGACGATCCCTGGAAATCCTGAAACGTTCTCTACCCTCCGAAGATGCCCGTGACAGCGAGGGGGCATTCAGTCGTAAGCCCTCCACTGCCGAAAGCTTGGACTCATTTGTCTCCGCTGATGATAGCCACTCGCCGGCCAGCAAGTCTCCAATTCCAGGAGCAGGAGCCGGAACAGAGGGCTATCCACACCGAGTGCCCACCATAGAATGCGAAGAGCCATCCATCGAGGAGGACGACAATTCTTCGGAGAGGCGACATCTTAAAGTTGGGAGGCAAGATACAAATAGGCTGAGTCTGGATCGCAGTCGTAGCGATGAAACAGGCTCGTGGATGACCGTGGAATGTGACGAGTTTATAGGATCGGATACTTCTGACAATGAGCCGCGAACTTTGGAACCTGATCGAAATGTTCTTGAGACGCAGGCTACTTTAGAAGATGCCAACCCGCTTGAGTACTCTAACTGCGCCACTCCCACCTCAGACTTAAACATCCTTTTAACGCCACCCAATGCAAGTCCACAAATCGAGAAGTCAGTGCTAGAGACTTTTGAGAAGTACACCGGCTCTTCGGACAGCAACAAAAAATTAAAACAAAGCCTGGACAAGCAAAGCGACCGTTCCAAGAGTTCCGATTCCTGGACAAGTGGAGAAAAGGACACAAGTCCGCAGAGGCAACAAGATTGGAGCCTGTCGGTAGGCAAGGAGAAAAGCTCTGTGGAAGAGGAGTCCAGCGTCAGTTGTTCCATCGCTCGACCCCTCGGTATATCCCAAGACTTTGGTAACGATGAGGCACGCAGGTGCCAAGAACTCAAGCAGCGCATGCTCCAGCTGGACGTAGGCAAAGATGAGATCTCACCTACGGGGTCCAACGAACAAACGCCCACAAACGAGCCTAAAGTTCTAGTTGGCAAGAAACCGACCACACCCACGCTCGAAAAGCAGAGCCCAATCGACCTGGGTACCAGCACAGAGTCCTATCTGGATCCCATTGAGGAACGCATAGCTAAGATATTGGATCGTGGCGGCGCACGCACAGAGGACAGTGAATCCAGCTCTGGTGGATCCCGCAAGCCACCGCGTATTGAGAAACCGGCAAGGGCTAGTACGGGAAAGAAACTATCGGTAACTCGGGCGGAACCGGGGAAATCGGGCAGCGACCGCAGCTCCCAGGAGTCTAAATCCAGCTTCGACTCCAAGGGCTCCCTAAGCGTTGAGTCGCGTGGTTCGTTTGAGACGGAAAGCAGTTCTGGGTCTCTAGGGGCGGCCCAAAGGCGTGGTGATCTGGCGCAAAAGGAGCAACAAAGCACCTGGCGTCCGTTTCCCATCGAGAGCTCAAACAGCTCTAGCACGGATGATCCCTGGCATCATGTGGAAACGGATGGGGGCTATGAGCGCTATGATGCCCAAAATCCCTTGCGCGATTCGTCGGACAGTGACGTGAAGGAAGTTTCCCCAGATGAGCAGAAGGACGCCAGCGATGCCAGCTATCAGGATGAGCTTAACGATTTTCCGGCCACATTCGGCTATCCAGCAATGACTAGTAGTCTGGGTGGAATTGGTGTGAACCCGACTGACATTATTGGCTACAGTACTGGCTTCACCCTGGGCAGGACTCTCTCAAGGATCTCGGAACGTAGCACTGCCTCCGAGAAGTCCAGCATGGAGGATGACGTGAGCAAAGCCTCGACCCATTCTGTTAGTATGCGAGATGAATCTGTAGGATCCACGGACCACCAGCCCAGTTTAAGCTCCGATTCAAGGAGCAATACTAATCTGGCTTACATTTCGGATGCTGATCGACGCACCTCTGCAGAGATGCCGGAAATTCCCTGCGACTCAGCCACTGGCGACCGACTCTCCAGCTTGGGAAGTCTTAATGAACCGAAATCACCAACACTTGTCACTGGGCGCTTTTCTGTGACCCACGTAGATGAACTGCAGGGCGACGATGTGGAGCGGCACACACTTATGTGTCTTTCCAATGCGGGCAGTCAGGACTCGGAGGACTGGCCTTTGCCGGAGATACCCTTTGACCACGTGCCGGTAAAGCCGGCCGACTCGATGTATGGCATGCCGGACTTGGACAAGCCGGTGCCCAAGTCTTTCTGTTGGAAGGCGAGTTTGTCGTTTCAGCAGTCGCAGGATTCCCTGGACTGGCCTTCGCCGCCATCGAGTACCATCGGAGCTCCCATAATTGTGGACAGCATTGAAACATACTATACTAGTGAAGCCCAAAGTGCGGATAAGGTGGTTTTGGACGAGGAGATGGCAGCAGGACCTCCTGATGTGGCCAAAGTTCTACCTTATGAAGACACCGCCTACCTTATGTCGGCAGCTTTTGATGATAATGACTTTGGCAATGAACAGTTACAACCGGATACGGTTAGCTGCCTTAGCTCTACGTTAAGCGCAGCCTCATGTCTCTCGTCCTCTCTAAATGTCAGCTGCAGTACCTCTTCCACGCAGGCTACCGCAAGAGTTCAGCGCAAGAACTCCAGTCCCGAGGTGATTGTCGCCCAGCCAACAAGGTCACCTGCTCCTAGGAGCCCTCTCTCGGAAGAAGAGCTTTTCTCTAGCGATGATGTCTTCATGCCGGGCACTATTAAAGTGCAACTATCACCAGATGCCCAACTAAGGAAGCTTTCGAGAGGCTCCAACAATTCGGACACTTCTATTGACGACATTCTGTCGGGCAGCACAACCTATCTGGATGATCAGACCACTGTGCGGAGGAACTATGAAGCCCGTTTGAGCAGCGGTGGAGGGGGAGCGAGCTGCAAGAAGTGTAGCCACTCTAGTCACTCCGAGGAGGAAACCAGCTCATTGGGCACAGACCTCGATGGAACCGTGAGAATGGGTGGATTGCAGCAAAAGAAGTGCACACATAGCTCTCATTCGGAGGACACTTCAATTGGTTTGAGCATCTCGGAATGGTCCACAGGGACAAACACAGTACGCCAGTACGCAAATCTTTCCGGGTCAGATAGCCTTTCCGCCGTGTCTACGCACTCATGTGCTAAGAGTGAGAAATCGAATCAGACTAAATCGAGTATTAGTTCGATCAACAAATCGGCTGAAAGTCTAAACGAACAGAGCGGTGGTAGTAGCTTTTCGCACAAGTTCAGTGGGGATAATGGTTCCTCAGACGGCCTACGATATGACATGCTCTCCAATTCCGAGACCGATAAGCTCAGTGAGCCCACCTCAGCCACTCGAAGTGATGACACTACATTGACCCTTACCGAAATGGCCCACACTATCAGCGAGTGGTCCACTTCAAGTAGTCGTACTCTGGTAGGCGTGACTCCTGGAGAGTATCTTCCCCTTAAGCAGGCACTGTCGGGGAACAAAACTAGTCTGAGCTCGCCCAGCGAGGAAAAACGTTGCGCTCTGCCTCAGGTCCATCGAAGAAGCGGCAGCAATGGCAACCAGGCGAGAGCTTCGCAGGAGCACGTCGACACGGCAACTGGTCCAGAGACTAGTGCCGCCGCCCGGAAACGTCGCTCGCTGGAAATGATGTCTAAGCTATATCAGAGTCAGGAAATATGCTCTGAGTCAGAGTCGCCGTTTGTCGAGCGATTGTATGCGCATAGCGAGAAGCTGACAGAGCGCTATCAAAGCCAGGAGTTTGTTCCGCTCCACGGTGGAGCTCCTGGAACTCAACTCCCTCCACCGACCACTACTCAGATCCAAACCCAGCAGCCCCAACAGGTGCGGCAGAAGCCGAGGGCTCCTCAACCACCGACTAAACCCAAACCTGCAGTCACTCGGCCTATTATGCAGGCTTTGCTTAACAAGATGAAGCAACCTGGTCTGGCAGAGCAGGCAGCCGAAGCTGCTGAGGCTGAGGAAAAAAAAGCTAGGATTACTGTTGCTCCGGCAGTGGTGAAGCCACCGCCACCACCAGTACCCACTGTGCCGCCTATTGTGACCCCCAGCGATTTGCCTGGAGAAGTGGTGGCTCCTCCACCCAAACCGCTGGCCAAGCATCACAGCTATGATGACAGGACCCTGTCCAAGACTCAGATCCGAGACTTCAAGACTACCAGCAAGCAGTTGCGCCAGTCGAGCTCCTTCCATGAGCACATGCTGAGTAAGTCGCAACAGTCGTCACAGGAGCTGCCCATGAGAATCGACGAGGAGCGGGATGCACACTCCACGTCCTCGGCCACCAATACAACCACCACCACCAACACGCTCAACAGTGAAAGTACAGAACCAAATTCTCCACAAATGCCTCAGCGGGCGGATAAGTTAGTTCGCTGCTCACCATATTACTCGAGCAGTTTAAGCTCCGAGTCGCCACCAAATCAGTTGCTTCAGAAACCGCCAAGAAAAACGGCAAGCCAGCTGAGCGCTGGAGCCATATCCACTACCTTGAAGAGTCCCCCCAGTGGCAATGATACAGACAGCTCGCTGGACGTACGGGGTCAAGAGGCAAAAATGAGAAGTAGGGGCTACCGCAAGAAGCGTCAGTTGCCCGCCAAAAGGATAAGGGCTAATATGACAGCTGCTGCTCTACTGGAACAAGCGGAGAGCTCTGAGTGCTCCGAGGGATACGTACCGGAAATTGATTCGGGCAGCTCGGAATACTCATCCTGTCAGAGGGATGACCAGTACCTTGAGTTTGACGAGGAACTGGAAAGGGATCAGGAGCAAACAGACGAGTATGACGACTACCCCCAGTATGGTGGAAAATTCGAGAGTCTGGACATGTGCGACAATGTGGACGAGATGGGTTTTCCCCGTTACGACCGCCTTGGCCACATCACTAAGCCCATGTATCATCAAGCTTTGGTTATGGAGCGTCCTAATCCAGTGCAGGTTCCAGCCCCTGCTAATCACCCAATGCCTCCAACCACGGGGCAGCCGGTGAAGCCAGCTCGCACCAAGAAGAGGCAACTGAAAAGGGAGGACTCCACTGCGGCGGGACCTTCAGGTTTTTCGGGAATAGTACCCACAGTCCGACCCTACCATGGACGCAGTTACTGCAATCCGGAGGAGAGCGAGTATGAAACCCGAGGCGGCGGACTGTCCGATGAACTGGCTAACTCTAGTGAGGATAGCTGCAGTGGGTTTGGGGGAGAACCAGGAGTTTCAGGATCGGGCACCATACGAAGAGGTGCTCCCAAAGGAGCGGCACAGGATCAGCAGCAGGGAACGGGAGCCCAAGATGGACAGGTGCTGCCCTATCCCGATTTTTTGTCCGATTACGAAACTGAACCCATTGAGTACGAGCGGTACGCCTGCGGTCTGGATATACGTGTGGACCCGCCGCCCAAGTTTCACGACTCGGATGAGCCAAGTGACCAGTAGGGTGGGATCTTTATGAAACTAGGAGCCGTAGTAGCCAAGTGAACCCCAAGAAACCCCATTGCGTGTGCTTAACGAATGCAGCCTTTTCATTTGTTCCGTTGCCTTGGAAATTTTTAGAACGACTCTACGTCTTTACACACGATCCAAGTACTTATAACCAACTTATTTGTAACTGAGACTGATTTACGAAAAGCTAAAAACAAAAAAAAAACAAAAATCCAAAAATCTTACAAGCTGCATTAAAAATCGAAAAACAATTATAACTCTCCTTGAAGCGTTAGAAAATCAAATCAAATTCTAGTAAAAAACATTTTAATCAAACATTACAAAACATAACAAATCAAATATAATTAAATAATCGAGATGATGGCAGAAGCCTGTAGGTCGGTGTAGATTGAGTTGCCTTTGAGCGGTATCTATATATGATAATGTTATAGATCAATTCAACATTTAAATATATATATGAGCGGAAACGTTAAACGAGTTGAACAAATTTTAATGCACTGTTTAATCATCGAATAATGGAATACAAGAATACAAATGTTTAATTGTTATTTAGCTAATACAACACGAATCGAGACACAATACTTAAGATTACAGTTATCAAATGAATATATTATATGATTAATTCAAGTTGCCACGAACTCTGCGCAATTACGTTCCGTATTTCGTCAGAATTGGTAGCGCAGGTAATAAAATCCTACATAGCTGAGTTCCAATCCAAGTGTCAAAGCCAGACATACCTAAAAGAAAATATCCCGAGTAAAACCTCTAAACTAGTTACGTACACATATTCCCTAAGTTTAGTAATCTGAGATGATACACCGACAAATCAGCAAAATGCTTTGAAACACTTATCCTAGAAACACCATTGGAAAATGTTATGAAAAGCCCTTCCAACACATTTGGAGAACGTAAAGAAAGGTTCCCTAAACCCCAATCTAAGGTATTATCCTAACAAAACTCGGCATTATCACAGTATAATGAAAGCATTTACTCCATGCTATTAAGCGGTTTTTTAGCCATATATATTTTATGTAGCACTTGAGCTATATAAGTTTTTAATTTTACGGCAAACGTTTTTAGACGCAAGTTACATATTTAACTATTACTTACGATTCTCACAAGTGAACAAATGTTGTCTTAGCCATTAGTTCTGCCTAGTACATAAATGTGCCAAATCGGAGTTCCGGGAATGTAAACCCCTATACCAAAAGTATTATATAGATGTACTTGTAATGGGAGAAAAAGGAATTAATCCAAACCCTGTTAAGTTTTAAATCCGTTTAGGAACCCATATACCTATATGGGATAGATTAATGTATGTTTGTTCTTTAAGTTTACGAAAGATGGAAAAAGATATTTAAGGATTGTTAGGGAAGATGTGTGGAAGGAGATTGGTATTAGGCAACGTAAGTCGAACAATAATTTTAATAATTTAATCCAGATCAAAAGTATTCGAATCAAAATATATATTTGTGTTTAGATTTAATGTAAAATTAAATGAGATCGAAAATTGGTTATTGCTTGTATCTAAGTTGATTGAACAATCCATTTCAATCCGATATACCCCAAACAAATTATTTTAAAATGGTATATTTTTAACATCCTCACGTAGAGTTTTAAAATACAAATTTTTTGTTGCAAAAAGAAGTAAAGTAGTTTAAATTATTTCTATTAAAAAATTAAACGTGTATTTGCCTAAAGAATACAACACCCTCGAAAACACTAGCTGAATTTTAAAATCTAGAAAAAACTAAACTTTGCTTTGTAATACAAAATTATAACTCAATAAGGATTATTTTGGACAAAGTTCTTTTTCTCACATAAAGCCAAAAGATTACACAATCGAACAGAAACAATGATGGGAGTCTTATAATAATGAAAACCAATGAAATGTACACGAGCAATCGATTTAACAAGCATTAAATTATAATTATATAGAAACGAAACTAAATAAATAAAAATTCATTAATCAAATAAAAAAGATAAGCGGTTGTTTAAATAAATTTAATTATTGACTTAATTTTCTACTTTTTAGGTATTTATACCCGTTACTCGTAGAGTAAAAGGGTATATTGTATTCGTGCAAAAGTATGTAACAGCTAGAAGGAAGCGTTTCCGACCCTATAAAGTATATATATTCTTGATCAGGGTCACTAGCCGAGTCGATATAGCCATGTCCGTCTGTCCGTCTGTACGTCTGTCTGTCCGTCTGTCTGTCCGTCTGTCTGTCCGTCCGTATGAACGCTGAGATCTCGGAAACTATAAAAGCTAGAAGATTGGCATTTTGCATGCAGATTCTAGGAGTTCCTACGCAGCGCAAGTTTGTTTCAAAAAGGTGCCACGCCCCTTTTAACGCCCACAATCGCTTATATACGATTTTAAAAATTAAAATATTTCGGAAAAGTAAAAATGCAGTTTTATTGTGTTTATCAATACCTATCGAAATGTAGAAGAAATTTTTCAAATCGGACCATTCGTTAAAAAGTTATGCGTGATCAAAGTTTCTATCTCCATCTCCCTCGCACTCCCTTTACCTGAGTAACGGGTAACTGATAGTCGGGGCACCCGACTATAGCGTTCTCTCTTGTTTTAATTTAATTTGTATTCTAACTATTTTAAGGTATTTATTTATTAATGCAGACATCATTAGTTTAGATATTATTGTGTGTATTTATATATACATAGCATTTTAAAATTACTTAAAAAGTTAAAACATTTTTATAATATTTGAAATTAAGATTAATTTTTTAATTACAAGAAATAAGTTAATTTAATAAACTAATTATAATTTTATTTTGAGTTAAGATACACATATACGCTTATCAATTAGGTTGATTTTTTTTTACAAATTTCTCCAAATTTAATTTTAAAGAAAGCGAATTTGTTTTTTTTTTTATTATTTTATTCTTTTGATTTTCATTACTTCTTATTTTTATAGATCTCTACCATGGCATAAATGGAAATATGTCGCTGGACAGGCGCGGTGAAATAACCACTCCACCCACGCGCTACGACCTCACCCTTGGCTCGGATAAGTCCTCGTCACTCTCCCGATCTGAGGCTGGCACGTATGATGTGATCCAGGCGGAGATCCAGCATGCTAAGCGGCAGGAGCTGGCCACCGGCGTGGCCACAGCGCCGCACCAGAATGGACACAATGGGAATGGAAATGTGCACCCGCTGACCACGCAGCACGACATCGAGGCGGAAGTCAAGAAGCGGAAGTGGCCCACCGAGCCCAGCTACTTCCTGGCCAAGGAGCTGCTGATGACGGAGCGCACGTACAAGAAGGATCTGGATGTGCTGAACACGACCTTCCGACAAGTGCTAAGTCTCGGGGACGTGGAGCAATTGCAGCCGCTCTTCGAGCTGCTCGACTCTCTGGCCCAGCACCACAATCTTTTCCTGCGGGACATTGAGCACCGCCTGGTGCAGTGGGAGGGTCGCGGCGGCCACGAGGCCCATCGCATCGGAGACGTGATGATGAAGCACATGGCGGCCCTGCCCATCTACGACGAGTATGTGCAGACGCACCTGGACATTCTGCACTGTCTGAACGACATGTACGAGGGGGACGACCGCTTCCGCCAGGTGTATAAGGACTTCGAACAGCAGAAGGTGTGCTATCTGCCGATCGGCGAGCTTCTACTGAAGCCCCTTAATCGCCTGTTGCACTACCAGCTGATCTTGGAGCGGCTGTGCGACTATTATGCGGAGGAGCATATTGACTACGCCGACTGCCAGGCGGTGCACCACTTGCTCGTTCGCAGCACCAAGGTAATCCGGGCCAACCTGCCCGATTCTGCCAACTTTGTGGAGCTGTGCGAGCTGCAGCGTGACATCAGCTTCGAGCAGTTGGTTCAGCCCCATCGCCGCCTCATCCGCCAGGGCTGCCTGTTGAAGCACTCGAAGCGCGGGCTGCAGCAACGAATGTTCTTCCTATTCTCGGATCTGCTGCTCTACGGGTCTAAATCACCGCTGGACCAGAGTTTCCGCATTCTGGGCCATGTCCCTGTGCGGTCGCTGCTCACCGAAAACGCCGAGCACAACACCTTCTCCATCTTCGGCGGCCAGTGCGCCATTACGGTGAGTGCGGGCACCACCGCCGAGAAGACTCTCTGGCTGGCCGAACTCTCCAAGGCGGCGGCGGACATCAAAAACCGGCCACCAAACATGCAACTGCAGCTGACGACGCTTAAGAACTGCAGTGAGTATTTAAGAATGAAATGGGTTGGGTTGGTATATAATGGAGTTTTCCACCAAATAGAGACACGTAAATTGTCTTTGATTAAAATAAAAACAAGAAAGGAAAGCTAACTTCGGACGGAGCCGAAGTTGATATACCCTTGCAGAATATTCTGTAAATTATATTCTTCAAAATTATTCATATGGTGTATTCTTAATACTCATAAAAAGTCTCAACTTCCTAACTTTAAAAACACCAAAGTTATGGCATTTCCAATCGTTCAGTTATATGGCAGCTATAGGATATAGTCGGCCGATCCTTATGTAATTTGGTAGGTCGGATTGATTGGCCAAAAATAAAACCCATAGAAAATCCCAACTTGATAACTTTAAAAACACCAAAGTTATGGCATTTCCAATCGTTCAGTTATATGGCAGCTATAGGATATAGTCGGCCGATCCTTATGAAATTTAGTAGGTCGGATTGATTGGCCAAAAATAAAACTCATAGAAAATCCCAACTTCCTAACTTTAAAAACACCAAAGTTATGGCATTTCCGATCGTTCAGTTATATGGCAGCTATATGATATAGTGGCCCGATCCGGCTCGTTCCGACTTATATACTACCTGCAATAGAAAGACAACTTTTGGGAAAGTTTCAAGCAGATAGCTTTAAAACTGAGGGACTAGTTTGCGTAGAAACGGACGGACGGACAGACGGACAGACGGACATGGCTAGATCGACTCTCCTGGTGATGCTGATCAAGAATATATATACTTTATAGGGTCGGAAATGTCTCCTTCACTGCGTTGCAAACTTTTGACTGAAATTATAATACCCTCTGCAAGGGTATAAAAAACTAGATTTAACATATTCAGTCATATATACAAATTTATATTATTGTATAAAACAAAAAAAAGTTTAGATCGGTATGTCGCAGCTTTAAAATTATACGTAATTGTCATTGTGTTAGTATTGAATAATATTTTTTTAATACATTTTTTGATCGCTATTACAGGTAGTATCTTAAAATGTGTTCATTCTTTAAGTGCAGTATAAATCTTATATTATTCATATGTCTTACATTAATTAAAATGCGTTTATTGGCTTAACTATCGAAGTCTAGGCTATTCTGTAAGGTTTTTATAACAAGATCGTGGACCCTCTATTATAAGACCATTTAATTAAACTAAATATTTGCAAACTTCGGTTTCCGAAGCTAGCCTCCTTTTTTCGTGAGTTGTCGCTTAACTTTTCCACTTGTTCTCCACTTTCTTGGCTGGCAAGAAAAGCACGCTGCAAGGCCTCGTAAGCAAGCAAATGCACCCAGACCCCTTTACCCTCTCCGTAGAAAGCACCCTCTAAATAATGCACCCATTTTCCAGGTTCCTCGGAGGAGGGTCTGGACATGTTCGGGCTGAGCAACGGCAACAACAGCAGCTTGAACAGCAGCGTGAACGGCGGCGGTCCCCTGACTCCGCAGCAGCAGCAGTTGCAGCTGCAGCAGCAGCAGCAGAACCGGACGCAGCCGTCCCGCAGCAACACCGCTCTGCACGTCTGCTGGCATCGTGGCGCCACCGTAGGACTGGGCGATCACTTGATAGCCGCCGAGCACCAACTGTCCGGCTACCTGCTGCGCAAGTTCAAGAATAGCTCCGGCTGGCAGAAGCTCTGGGTGGTGTTCACCTCCTTCTGTCTGTACTTTTACAAGAGTTACCAGGACGAGTTCGCCCTGGCCAGCCTGCCGCTGCTAGGCTACACGGTGGGTCCGCCTGGCCACCAGGATGCCGTTCAAAAAGAGTTCGTCTTTAAGCTCTCGTTCAAAAACCACGTTTATTTCTTTCGGGCGGAGAGTGCTCACACCTATAACAGGTAAGGTTTAATTAAGATTTGCATCATTTAAATTTACTGGGTTAATGAACAGAATATAACTTGTATTCGAACAAAATTAATTTTTAGGATTGATTACGATACTGTTCGAATTATATACATATTCTCTTTCATTATTATAGACAAAAAAATATTTTCCTAACAGTTTGTTTTTGTCTTTTGAAAAATTGAATATAAATTTGGTACATTTATTAAACTTAGTAATATAAACAAGAATTTTTAATTACCACATATTAAAATTTGCTTCTTTCTAAAACAGGTGGCTGGAAGTGCTGCGAAGCACGACCCAAACACAGGACTTCAAGAACGTACACAGCCATGCTGTGTTAGGCAATTAGAAAGAACACCCTGTTGCCGGGATAGACGCATTGATCCCACACCTAATCCTTGTGCAATTCCATAAAGGAGGCACTCAATCAACCAGATACGCATAGAGACGCCTTTTAGAATTCTATTTTTATACAACGTATACACCACAACCAATATTTCCATTTTATATATGCCTACTTTATCTTCAACATTACTTACTCAACGTATTACATTTGTATCCTGTCAATACCAGCTTTTAGGTATATTTGTAAATAATGTATTTGTCGTATTTTCTGGTTTATTTTTTCCTGTAATAGTTTTTTTATGTTTATTGCTGGTCTTAAATGTTTTAGTTTTCCGGGCTACGTTACCCTTCGCATCAATTGATTACTCGATATACATTACGGTAAAAGTATAGAAAAACAAATTGATTCTAAAATCAAATAAAAATATTGAAATGATCTGTGTAATTGAAATTCTATTTTCTTACTTAAATTATGCAATTTTTAATCATAAGCTTAAGTCATTAACTTTATTAGATATAAACAAATTAAATAAAAATGTAACAAGAAATCGGTGTTTTT